CTGTTACCTAAGAGACTTTCTCTTTACGCGAGACAAAGTAGACTCTAAAGTTTGCCCCTGCAACTATAGAGCTACTCAAGATCCTACCCATATCCTCCTTAGCTGTACGCTATATAAGGAGGCTAGGATAAAGATGCAGGAGGCGAGCAAGGACCCCCTATCGCTAGCCTTCCTGCTAAACACGAGCGTAGGCATACAGGCTACTATTGCCTTTATTGAAGAAACTAGGGCTGCAACACAGGCCTGGCACAAAGGAAACCTCGAGAACTAGGGCAACACCTATACTAGGTGGCCTCGCCCTACACCCACCCTACCTCTCTCTTTTACCCGCAAGACCCCCTTCTACCTCCCTCTAGACTAGGCTACGAGCCTCACCTCGATTTAGATAGCCCCCTCCCCCACCTACACCAAAGTGATAGCACTACGTAGATACTTGCGGGCCTAGCCTGCACGTCTTATATAGCCCACCGGCTGAGACAGGACGTAAAACCAAAATAATAATAATAATAATAATATAAGGGCCTAATGCCTGATACTATATACTAGAGTTTTATATAGTATGCTCAGTTGCTTGGTACTGCTAAGAAGTACTAATCACTGAGCAACTTGAAGGTTGTAATGGGTGGGCCGGATCCGGCCTAGCGCGCAGCTACTCACGCCGCCTATGTGACTAAAAGGTATGCACAAGACAAAAAGCTTGTCTTATTTTCATAGTATCTGGATACATATACTCGATATTGGGGCGCGCGTATCGCAGCGCCGCTCTTAAGGGCGTAGCCCATTACACAGGTCGATATGCAGAGTACTTAGTTGCTTAGTAGTGCCAAGACATACTCATCACTGAGCATTGTACAGATCACGTGATGCGCTAGTCCTAAACGAGTATCTCTGTTTCTTGCTGTGGTTTTGTTGTTATGTTTATTACTGCTTTAATCATTGTAGTGGCGGAATACCCTCCTACTCCTGAGGTAGCCTCGTAACACTACGGTCCTTTCTCGATCCGCCACGATCCTTTTTTAATCCGCTATAGTCGTTTTGTAATCCGCCACGGTCCTTTTTTATCTGCTATAACTGTTTTTCAATCCGCTACGGTCCTTTCTCGATCCGCCACGATCCTTTTTTAATCCGCTATAGTCGTTTTGTAATCCACCACGGTCCTTTTTAATCCGCTATAGTTGTTTTTCAATCCGCTACGGTCCTTTCTCGATCCGCCACGATCCTTTTTTAATCCGCTATAGTCGTTTTGTAATCCGCCACGGTCCTTTTTTATCTGCTATAACTGTTTTTCAATCCGCTATGGTCCTTTCTCGATCCGCCACGATTCTTTTTTAATCCGCTATAGTCGTTTTGTAATCCGCTACGGTTCTTTCTCGATCCGCCACGATCTTTTTTTAATCCGCTATAGTTATATTTCAATCCGCCATGGTTCTCTTTCGACCCGCTACGTGTTACACGGGGTTAGGTGCTAATACTTCTCTTCTCGATCTAGGTTAGAGCGAGTAGGATAATGTAAGCTCCGTGAGAGTTTATCTAGCGATATGGTGGAGTGGTGTACTTATAGAATGGGACCATAGGTTTAACAACTACTAATCTATTTGTTAATAGATTAATAGGTTATGATCTTATAAAGTAAATTAACTAGTAAGAAATTATAATGTAAGTTAGTTAACTAACTATAGTAAGTGTAATAATGAAATCTATCTGTCTTTATATCCTTATTGTAATGGGTAGGCCGGATCCGGCCTAGCACGCAGCTACTCACGCCGCCTATGTGACTAAAAGGTATGCACAAGACAACAAGCTTGTCTTGTTTTCATAGTATCTGGATACATATACTCGATATTGGGGCGCGCGTATCGCAGCGCCGCTCTTAAGGGCGTAGCCCATTACGCTTATCACTGTAAGGGGCTACGCCCATATGTATATGGCTTGGCTTTGCCAAGCAAATCGAGTATATCTATGCAACTACCTTGACTTCAAGACAAGCTTGAAGTCTTGTTACTGCCTTTTTGGCAAAATGGTCGGCGTAAGTAGTTGTACGTTAGTGCCACGATACTCTGAACCGGAAGATAACCCTCGGGAATCCATCAGGTACCCCTCGGGCCAGGGCAGTCCCAGTCATGTGCATAGAGTATATAGTCTCGTCCGAACCTAAGGTCACTCCTTAAGGATTCGTCTTAATTCACTTCAACTGATATACTTTGTGCCTATCCACGAAACACCTCACAGTTAGGCTCCAAGAGCCCGCCCATTACAATTACTTCTAGTCCTACTACTACTACTATTACAACTTGATCTCTAGCTTGCCCAATGTTTTTAATAGCTACTATTGTAGGATTGCTACTATCACATACTACATAATATGTGACAGTCGTCTTGGCGCGATAACATATCACGTGACCAAGCCCCGCGATAATCATCACTTTTGTTATGGGTTGGCCCTTTACAGGATACTGTTAGGAACCAAGAGTTATTGTATTACTTGAGATATTGAGAATAGCTGGGGTTTACGGTCTACTTATAGTATCCTCTAGTTACGTGTCCTGCTTATTACTATACTTTTATAGGGTAGGTATAACCTACCCCATAACAACTTTCTGGTCCGAACACGAGTTGGTCTTGCTGTAAGGGGCTACGCTCCGGGGAACAATTGCGAGGTATGTAAGAGGTTGTATTCGATGGAGAGCTAAGCTTCTGAGCTGCGTAGCTATTATATACAATGTTAGTTGGCTAAGTATGTAACTATTAGGTTCATAGAATCTGTCGTCTAAACATTATTTCAGTAGTACGTGTGACAGGTTGAACGCCCTTTGGATAGATCTTCGATGAGATCTCGGTTCATTCCGCGCTCGCACGATCTGAACAACGTTCAGACGACGAGCGCAGAATTTGGTTGTCACCTAGAGCACCCGGATTCTTCCCACCGCCCGAGCAGCGCTTAGACAACGCGCTCAGATACTTCCGCATAACCTTTTCTCCGATAAGTAAATAAACATCACGCAAGTAGAGGAGATAGCTCTTCATCAAATAAAACCTCTTTATCCCTCGCGATTGCTCCCTGGAGCGTAGCCCCTTATAATGCGCGAAGAATCTAGGTGCTCTAGGTAGTGTAACTATGCTACAACACCACCAAGGATTGGACCTATACTATGGTCGGATCGGAGGAAGTATGCGCCACCCCCTTCAGCAGTCATTCGTTTTTGTAGTCGGACCCGATTCGGATCCGACTAGGACAGGTATATATGGAGACAATCCCTGTAGCTAGTTCTGTAGTTTTTCGATATCTTTTCGTAGAAGGCCTATAGGTGTCTATTCGAACCAAGGCTCGTTTGTTGTCCTACGCACTCACATACGCCTCTGAGTGACGCTACTGCCGATACTGATCCAACTAGTCTTGCCTGCGCCGTTACAGCGAAGGGCGTCCAGCCCAATACATCTGTAGAGTAGACTACATTGCCCTTCAAGGCTACGGTGTCGCTATAATGCTTTAGTCACAGTAGACGATACTTTTAGAGTGCTAGCTAGTCGTAGGATGTCTTAAGTAGACTTCTAGATTCAATACAATTCCCTAATTCCAAGAATTAAAACGCTCAATATTGTCGTGTTCTTCTTTGTTTCTTATGCAGTATGCTCAGTTGCTCAGCAGTGCCAAAAGGGATTGATCAACACGTACGATAGAATCACGCGATAGAGAGGATTGTGGCGTAATGTCCTGGGTCGCATTCTTCGCGCTTGCTTATCGGCTAATAGGTATTCGTATCGATGTGTACATTTGTATCCGCATCCGCATCCGTATCCGCAGTCATGGAACTGTTAGTAGTAAGGCTAATGATTAACACTAAATGTTGCCTTGTTTTAACCTTAAGCGAAGCAGCTGAATCATGGGATACCTTCAAGGTAATATAGAACTTAGGCGTAACCGCTTAGCCGAGGCAACGCAAGATTATGGTTTATGAGTCGCAGCCTCACGGCAAGATCGGGTAGTACAGGACTGTACCTAAGGGTAAGTTGTTTGTCTATCCGCTAAGTTGTTTGTTCGCCTATGAGTGGAAGGTTATTCTAAACATGTTTAGACATACTATCCGATCGCAGTTCGGGTAAGCTGCGGATACTAGGTATTCTAGGTAGCACCTAGGATCTAGGATCCGAAGTCTCGTAGAGACACTCTTGGCATCGCACCGAGATCCTGCCGAGGGATACCCGCTAAAGGACGATCATCATAGGTAAACAAACACCTCAGCGGATAGATAAGTAGCTCACTGTCAAATTTAATACTACACTACATGAACTGGTTACTTAACTGCCAATCTTATACTGAGATATTACACCACCTATCTTCTACGCTTTTCACATACCTCTTAGAACAAAGAAATATCCTCGCGTAAGTAATACCGGAATCTTAGAAAACGATGCTACAGTCTTTAAAGTACCTACTTATATTGATTCTTTACCCGATTTAGTATGGTTGTAAACAAAGAATGGTCTGCTGTTGCACTGGAGCACCGATATAGTCAATTGAACAATCGAGATAAGAAAAGGCCGCTTGCCTATGTCAAAAGGCACGAAAAAGAAGATCAGGGGCAAGTGATAGAATTGTTAGGGGATGAAACCGATCTCTACAACTTTACCAAGCTCGAGAAAAAAACTTTCTCGTTGTTACCATACTCTACGATTAGCTGGCTAGTATCATCATTGTATTTTGCCTGGGTACAGACAGATATACTGCAAAGACAGGCAACTTTAAAAGGCTGGGAGTTTGAAACCTCTTGCCGGCAAGGGTTCCTACTCCTAGATTTAATATGCACAGGTAAGTATTGGAAGATTCTAAAGACTAAAATCTAACTTCTAAAAGCGCCAAATTACTTGAAATTGTTTGGAGACTCCCTGGCCATATTAAGTGGGAAGTGGAGACCAAGACTTCGAGCAATAGGAAACAATGTCCCGGCCGTGGATGTAGCCATTGTATGCTGCAAAGAGCCACTAGCGATCATCCTGGATACCGTTCGCGCAGTTCTAAACATTGATTACCCGGATAGTCAGTTTCGCCTTGTGGTTTCAGATGATGGTGATCAACCAGAAGTTAGACAGGGAGTTGCAGAGATTCAGGCTGAGTTCCCTTGCCGTAAACTATTCTATACAGCGCGTCAAAAAACCGCACAAAACAGCCATAAAGCCGGCAACCTCAACCATGCGCTCGAGTTTTACACTTCTCTACCTGGAGAGCCTGCACCGTTCTTCGCAGGAATCGATGCGGACATGATAGTTGAGAAAAGATGGCTTCGAGCACAGATTGGCTATTTGATGGTAGATCCCGCGCTCGCATTCACTTGTCCACCACCCCGTTTTTATAATCTACCAGTCAATGATCCTTTATCACAGTCACTTCTTATCTTCCAGAGATACGAAGAAATTGTAAAAGACAGGGCTGGATTTCCTTGGTGTACGGGTTCGGGATGGATTATGCGACGAACAGCCTTGGATCAGATTGGCGGATTTCCGGATGGTTCACTGACGGAGGATCTTCTTTGTGGTAATCTTTTACTTGGAAAAGGTAAGCACACTATATCTATCACTAAATTAGTATTAATCCCTCTAGGTTGGAAGGCAGCGTATGCAATGGAGACGCTACAATGGGGTCTTGTCCCTGATTCTTATTATTCACACGTACAACAGCGGAAGAGATGGGTAAGTTGACTTAGTCTCCCTAGCTTTACATATTTTCTATATTCTTACTAATCTTTTGTAAAGAGTGTTGGTGCCTCACAGGCCGGAATCCTCATGAAATTCTGTCTCACTGGATCAAAGGCTCGTCAAATGACTGTTTTCCAGAGGGTGTTTGGGTTTTTCTATCCAATGCAGAGCGTAGCATCTACATTGGGAGTGTTTGGAGTTCTTGGATACTTAATATCCTTTCTATGCGGGATAAGTGCGGCCCAATACTCAAACGATGAGGAGTTGAAGTCACTCGTAAGGCTGTCATGTCTAACTCACCTCTTCTACTTTGTACGTCTTTGCCAGATATCTGTGCTGGGAGGGGTAGCGGCTACATTTCGTGAGATGGTGTCATCGCATTTCCTCATACCATGTAAGTTGTTGTCCCCCTACAGCCTAGCGATAGATACTAACACACACCTGAAGACTTCGCCTACGATCACTGGAAGACATTTCTCCTCCCTCGATGGCTAGGAGGCAGACCAGAGCCTTTCAGTGCACGTTTTGTTGCAACTGGTAGTATTGTCGATGATTTGCATGAGTGGAATCCCTTAAGACGGGCCCCACTCTACCGCCGATTGAAGTCAGTGCTGATTAAAGACGGTGCTATATTCCAGATATTCATAGCCTTCGCTCACATCGTGGGAGTAGGCCTGAACCTAAAAAGAGCGTTCGCTCTGCATGAGCCCTACACTAAGGGTTTCAACATCTATCTTCTAACACGAATATTCTGGGTTCCTGTTTCGTGGCCGCTGAATATTGCGGTCTTTATACGTCCGCTCCAGTATGTGCTGTTTCCACCATCGGTTGCAGACCGAGAATCGCTTCTAGATCGCGACGATAAGGGAGTTGCGTACCCAAAGGCCAGTGCTAGAGTGCCAAAATTCACTCATTTAGGACTTGGAATGGAGCTTTTTTGGCTTCTGCAGGCGATTTATGCCTTATTTATGCTGATTAGTACATTTTACTACTAATACGCGCAGTACTCATACATTAATACCAACTTTGAGTTTTTCAGAACAGGTGTAATTTTAATCAAATATATACAAATTCATCCCAAGAAAGCAATCAACGTTCAACTCTACATGCTAAAGAACCGTGTGGGCTGAGAATGGCAGAGAATGACCAATTATTACATATACTCCACTTTGGCAAGAGATGATGCATTGTTAAGTGTGACTGTAGAATCTGTAACGTGGCAAAGCCGCTCAACACGTTCGCGTCCCTTGATTATGTCCTTCTGCTTCAATGGCCAAGACATACTTGCACAGGAAGCAAGGTATGATGGCAGTCCCTGAGAAAATAGGTCTCTAAAGGTCAATCTCTAGTTTGAAGTATCGTGATAGAGCTGACGTAGCGGGAGGACTTGTGCGCTCCCGCTATGCCGTGGCCGCACGGACTGAGGAGGAGGTTAGCCTTGGTGGCTTTTGTCGAGACTGAATTGCAAAAGGATCTTGTCTTCAACTACTGCTTTGATCTCTATGAGGCGTAGCGTTAATTTAATAATATAATAGAGGTCAACTACTTAAGCGCCTTCGTAGGCGGTTCATGACAATACTGTGGTTGTGGCTTTTCCGTTCCGGTTCTAGACCCCGGACTGACGCCAGCCACATCAACGCCACATCACACGATACAATTTCACAAAGACTTTCTGCTGCTGCGAACATGTTATCCATGATACAATTACTTTTGTAGGTCTAAACTAATAATCAAGTATCCATGTGCATGATGAGCAATCTTGACTTTGATGGCAGATTGACATATGTTGGTCTGGCCAACAGTGGACCCTCAGAGGATGTTCCAAGATCAATGCACGTGGCGCCACTCCTAGCCCTAGTCAGCTATGATATTAACGCCTCAGAAGTGTACCGAAATAAATTGTCCCTGAGTTATGGAACAACGAGTAAGTACACACTCAGCACCTACAAAAGAGAAGAGTTGTCCATGTTCGCTCTTCTCTTGTAAAAATTTCCTTCGTCGATTCGCGAGCAAAGTTCCCCCAATATGCCTTCGTCGTTACCATCTTCCTCCTCCTCCTCCTCCTCTCACGAGGACTTAGATAGTGGCATAAACGCTGCAAAACTTGAAGCAGCCAACCGTTATATCCGTTGGAACCTATTGTTTCTCTTAACCATCTTCATCTTTCTTCTTTTTCCGCTATGGATGCCTTTTGTTCCCTACGTTAACCAAGCGACCAACCTCGTCATCATAATGATAATCGGGTTTTTCCAAATAATCTGGCTGATAGCCACTATTTGCGCCATCCGACGAACACTAGCCATAAAAAACCGAAACAAGCTCAAGAACACAAAAGCTCAAGATCTCGAATCAGCTGATGCCATGGCCAAAAACTACTCAACAGTTCGTCACATAGTCGCCATGACTTTGTATAAGGAGCCTATGAGCGTACTTCAAACTACCTTGGACTCTCTTGTGCTGCAAAAAGATGCCAAATCCCAGCTTTCCGTCATTATCGGCATGGAGTGTCGCACACCTGACAGGGAAGCTAAATACAATGAAATCTACGCAAAGTACAAGAGCAAGTTCCTCCGACTCATCGTCACCTTCCACCCCTCGGGAATTCCTGGCGAGATTAGCGGCAAGTGCTCCAACATGAACTACGCCTGTCGCCAAGGTTTGTATGTCCTCCGTCAAGATGTTGAATACAACTATGAGAAATACGAACACATTTTTACCAACTGCGACTGCGACTCCGTTTTCGATCCCGAATATATGCTGGAATTGGAAACCCAGTACTACAAGCTAGATCCCGCCGACCGCCACTCCTCCATTTGGCAATCCATCATCATCTACAAGCGCGACTCCATGCCTTTTTTTGTCGACATTACCGGTGTTCTGCGTACCTTTTTCTTTATGGGTGTTTTGATTCCATGGAACATTAATCCCATGTCCCATTACTCTCTCAGCGTTAAGTTGTTAGAGGAGGGCGCCTTTACCCACCCATCTTATCAGATGGAAGATATCATTGCTTTAATCCGCTACACAATCATGACACAACGAGAAATTCGCATCCGGCCGTTGAACCTCATTTCAATCAATGGTCCGACTTCTGGCGCCAACTACGGAGATGAAATCCGCGAATGGGCCCTTCAAATTCGCCGATGGACCATTGGCGCTGGTGAAGTCTTCCACTACTTCATTGTCAAGACGTACAGAATTCCTGGGCTTTATCTATCCATCAGCTGGGCTACTCGCTTCTTCATCTACTATGGCCTCATTCTCTGCGCCAGTGCCATTTTCTCTGTGGTTTCCCCCATCATTATTCAACTCGTCAATACAGTTGCTGCCCAACATGACCGCCTGGTCATCAGCGACTCTCTCTTTTCAAAAATCTGCTTTATTTTCTTAGGAACACAATATGCGTTTCTACTAATTGCCACTATCCTCGTTCGTTGGAACTTACCTGTGCCCGGTGATACCAACAATCACTACAACAAGGGTCTTCGGGGGATAACAAGGGGCTTGCTACATTGGATGTTGATGTTGCCAACTATTCTTGCGTATAGCCTGGTAGAGCTCTATTCATTCTTCGAATTAGCCTTTAGAGGGAAAGATGTTTGCAAGCATAATGCTGCTAGTAAAAACAATCTAGTCATCATAAAAGGCGGCGTAGATTCTTGAGATCTATATAGGCGTCTCACTCTAGTAAGCAGCACAAGAACACTAAAGAGAAACTGGAATGGAAGGAAGCAATTTCTTAACAAAACAGTAATACTGAATAACGTGGTTCACGAGCGATTCTGCCACTTCTCCGCGCCACCCTATTTTCACAACAAAATTGTACAGCACCACAATTTTTTTAATTAATTAGAATAGAATATGCTTCTTTTAACGCGCTGTTACCTTCTATGTCCTTCAATTCTACTTTGCAGGTGCGAGAGTTATGTCCAACTTGGCTGTAACGTCTGTAGCATCGTTCACTGCGCGCTCCCTTCACAAGCATTACACCGTCCTTCCAGCAACGACCCTCTGCCTTATCGACTTAATCAGCTACCTGGCCAGCTATATGGGACACTTCTTTCTGTACGTAGCGCTGCTTATGAGTTTTGTTTCGTGAGATTACTTGTTTAATCGTAGCCTCAAAGCGATAAATAGTTTCTCGTTTTAACACCATTTCGTAGGCTAATTACTAGGCTTCTTTACTGAGCTGATGCACCTACCAATTGAGAGAACTTGTAGGAGACCCTTGTTGGATCTGCATACGTTTTCGAACAAGCTTAGCCTACGCCTCTATTTCGCGCGTTGCGCGGCGTTTCCGAGTCCTAGACGGTGCTCTCTGACGCTAGTAGAATTGGCGTACGCAACACGACATTAAGCCAGACTAGCATGGAGTCAGGCTGATTCTGCGGTGGTTAATGGGAAATTAGGCTAGCCTTATGTTCGCATCTTATTAGCATCACTGTGCAATCCTATGGGATGTGCGACCATGCCGAACAAATATCCACTGGCCAGTCAAACCTGGGAATTGGAAAGATGAGTCTAGGTCAGCGGTTAAGGAATTCTATCGCCATACTATGCTCGATGCGTCGAGTCCTACACAGTATTTCGCTTTGCCAAGATTGAGGCTTTTTAGGATCGCGTCGCAGGTTGCGATTACATTAAAGGGGGAGGCTGTGGCAAAGAGAGAGCGATGGCTTTTAGTTTTTTTCGGTTTTTGTATATCATTCTTTTAGATATGTGAACATTGCTTCGTCAAAGATGCTTATGAGCGGAGTAGCTTAGGAATCACATAAGCGTCCACGTTGAGTCAACCGAGGCTAAAGTCCTTTTCCCTCAAACCCCTCAGACAGCAACCTGTCACTCGCTTACACATCCCATCCCTCGAACGATGACCGAGGCTGCTTTACTTCTTTCGAACACCAAATGGTGGAACCTCAAGAAGTGAATCGGTCACGTGTCACGGTGGCAAAGTCGAGTCCCAGCACGAAACGTAGCTCGGTCGCAAAGAAGAGCGCTTTCTCATGTAACGTCTGTCGCAAGCGGAATGTTTGCAAACCCGATAATATTTTTCGGGTTCAGATTGATTGATATTGAGATTAGGTAAAATGGGATAGTGGGCATCCGGTTTGTAACAGGTGTAGGGTCTGTGGCGACGTGTGTGTTTACAAGCTGTAAGACAAACAAGAAGTCCTGATTGTCCCAACTTCTAGATTGACGCCTTCCATTTCTCCAAGTTTGTCGTATACGCAGCGGTTAGAGCAAAGAGTTGTAGAACTTGAGGCTGCACTTGCAGGTCACAGAGCTGCGTCAAGCGACTCTCCGCGCGATCATATTTCGGAAACACCATCTCTAACGTCGGACGTCCCTCCACACCCTGGACAATCGAGAGCTACTGAGTCGCTGAGGATCGAAGGAGACGCCGGATTATCTTTCCCTGTGTCTACGAGCCTTTTCCAGCTTCTCGGTAGTATCCGGACACGCCATATAAGTCCGAACCAAGCAAACCAGGAGATGGCCGCTGAGAAGCAGAATCTGATAAACAACGCATGGCGCGAGAGAGCATTTGAAAAGCTTACAGATACGCCCGTTAGTTATCAGTTAATTCTTGCTAGACATGGAAGCTGAGTAAACTTGTATAGGAGCCCTATCGATCTCTCATAGATTCTAATTTCTGCTGGATGCAGCCACTTTTCAATTTCATCTACCAGTCTACCTTCACACATAAGAATTTTCTTCAATCCATGGTATCTTCCGATAAATATTTTCCATAGGCGACATGGAGATTGGCGGACCTTACTTCTCACAGGCACTAATAAATGCTGTGCTCTCACATTCAGTCCGATGGTGTCGTGACGAGCTGGGCATGGAGCAATTACTCGGCCCTTTCGACGGTGGAGTAACTTTCTCCAAATGGGCAGTTGAAGACCTTTTCAATGATATCGAACATGGAAATAGCAAAATCCCTACCGTTCAGGCTCTTCTATCACTTAGCGCTCAACAATGCGGTTGTGGCAACCACACTCAAGCTTGGCTATACAGTAGCATGGTATTCCGACTAATCGATGATATAGGCATCTGCATCGACAGCAAGCGATACGCGGATGTTGGACATTTTTCCACTGAGGATGTTGAAGTGCGCAATCGCTTGTTCTGGAGCTGTTACTTCTGGGACAAGCTCATATCCCTGTACTTTGGCCGAGCTCCCATGGTTCAAAACTCCGAGATCAGTCCACCACGAGTGCTAAGTAAGACACAGCCTCTGCTCACACGGTTTTTGTCCTGACCATGGCAGTGGATGACACAGCCGAAATTGAACTTTGGGCGGAGTGCCAGCTCGGTCAACTTCCGAGCTCTCAAAAACGGCAAAAGTGTGTTTGATGATAATCCGAGTCATCGGCCCGAACACTCAACACAGTGTACTTATAAGATTTGCGGATTAGTTTGCCTGTACCACATTCTTCGAAGAGCACCCGAATGCCATCCATCTCCCAGCTTGCACAATCTTTCTAACACCTTGTCATTCGAATCGACAATAGGTACGAGAAACACTGTCATCGTCCAGCTCTCCATATACAGCAACGACAACACTTTCCTTATCAATGCTCTTACAAAAATCGGAAAGCGGCACGGTCGTGGTGTCATAGGCTTCGATGCTGATACGATCTCCTTCAAACCCCTGCAAAAATGGGACAAGCTTGGTGTACGGAGCGTGCGATTGAACATCAAGTCCAACAACATCAAGCTCACCGAAGTCCAACTGCAGGTGCAAGCCAAGTAGTACGCCCAGATAATCAAACCACTCAACTGGATCTTTGAACTGTACATCGGCATGGAAGATTTCCCGAAGCTTGAGCCCATTGTCGCAGACCTCAGTGTCACACTTTCCATCGCCCATTTCGGTGCGCCAAATCTGCCGCTTCCTGAGAACACGACTCTACCCTTGGACCCATATAACCTCGTTGGCTTTCAATTTTTAGTCAACCTATTGAAAGGCGGTAACATATGCCTTGAGTTCTCTGTCGCTTATCGGTTCGACAAGGATCCGGAGTATCGCTGTGTTGAGGGTATCGCACGCGGGTCGCTGAAGTTTGCTGGGGATAGAATTATTTTCGCGTCAGATTGGCCGCATACTAGATATGAAGGGTTAGATATCAGACCATTTCTTGAGAAGTTACTGGATTGGACAGAAGAGACAAAATTGAAGGAGAGGGTGTTCAATAGGAATGCTCATGTACTTTGGGATATTCCCCTTCCTGGATAGGAAGTATTTCGATCAATGAATCAGTCACTCTTGTATCACAGCCAGTGCACTGGCCGATGTCGATTAGAGGGCCAATCGTCCAACGCGAAAATCCCAAGTCAGAAACATCTGATTCATAGCAATTTACATAGAATACCCATCCGGCAGGAGACTTGTCTGTCTTGGAGATGGCCGGATAGGCCACCATATTCTCCTTCATGACTTGCCAATTAAACTGAGATAACTGGATGCGTTGCTTGTGACCTAACAGGTAGTACTTACTAGCTAAAACGTATCGTGATAGTACAAAGATGTTACTATACGCTTCGGTGCGGCGGAGTGAAATGTATTGTTTCTGCCATATACCATCTGCATTGATCTTGTGGTATATAGCTGTTGCTTTTTCTTGTTAAGGTAGTGCATCCTTGTTGTTGCCATTAGGCTGCGACAGTTGTTTTTCCTTGGAACCACAGTGAATGAATGTCCCTCTAAACGAATTCTGCGCGCGGCCGAGATACTATTTACTTACGGACGAGCCCCGGATCTCCCCAATCCCCAAAGTGTTTGCCATCTCGGTCAACGTCCGAGCCAGTACGAACCATCATCTCGAGTTACTTACTAGTTCCAACAAGCTAATGCTAGCACCCATTTTGCGTATATTAGACTTCCGACATGTTCCGAAGTAACTTGGACGGTTATGCTCGGAATCGAGCGGGAGCGCTGGCGCTGTGGCTCAGAGACATCTGTACACTGCCCCCAGCTTTGACGCGCAATGTCTGTGAAGATACATATATATATCTTGTGCAACCCGTTGGTTTATCAGGAATATTACGACATCTAAACACTCGAACACGACACGAAACCCCGTAGAAGAAACAAAAACTATGAACAATGCCCATCACTCAGTTGGCATCAACACAATAGCAGGCGGCCTGGCTGGCGCAACAGAAACCTTTGTCACAGTTAGTTGCGCCTCCCCTCCGTATGGCGCATATTCCAATGCTCGCATTCACCACCAGATAAAAGTTTACCATGTTAACAGTACCCAGCCGAGTTCGGCAAAACCCGACGTCAACTCGGTCCTTCCTCATCCGGCCGAAAGTCCGCATCATCCTCCAGCATCCTCAAATCCACACTCCAAGATTCTGGGATTAGAGGCGTATACGCCGGATGTCCAACTCTCGCGATAAGCAATGCACTAAAAGGCGGTGTTCGCTTCTTCTCCTTCGAGACCGCGAAAAGAAACTTGACACCCTACTTCTTCTCTCCGACCATGAGTCGTGGATCTGCCGTGCGGAATCCCTAGCTCGACCTTACGTCAGGGCTATGCGCTGGAGCTACAGAAAGTCTCCTCATTGTTACACTGGGTGAGGCGTTGAAGACACGAGTTATACACTATGCTGCACCAGGAGCCCGTTTGGGACGTCTCTCTGTGCCGCAGCTAGTGGCACATACAGTGCGACAAGCCGGAGTGCTTTCCTTATGTAGGGATCTTACGCCAGTGTTGTGTAAGCAGGGTACAAACAGCGCTGTACGGTTTACAACTTCTGGCGCACTGAAAGATGAATTGAGAGAAGTGTGGCCGGAAAAGATGGGTGGCACGACAGCGAAAATGATCGCAGTGCTGACAGTGGCGTAGTGACAGTGTAAGTGTTTGACATCTGCTATTGCGATGTCAAGGCTGATGATATATAGCTATGCATCGATATTGTTCGATAATGTTAACACTAGAATGAAGAGTATTGGAGGCCCCAAAGGTAGTGTTATTTCGGTTGCAACGGACATGTTGATAAAGGAAGGCTTGCTTGTATTTTGGAAAGCTACCGCGCAGAGGCTGGTGAGACTCACGGTAAGCACTTGCCCTCTGTAGTTTGTTTTTTGAGATGCGATTGGCTGATGGTGTGCAGCAGCTATCAAGTAGCATCACCTTCATGGTGTATGACTACACTCTCAATCTCGTCAAAATCCTTTCTTCGAAATCGAATAGAATGGATGCAATCTGAATAATCTCAAGGCATAGCAATGATCTTTATCAGACAAGACATTCTAACTTCATCGTTTATTTTCGATAACCTGAGCGTATGATTGATTGCTCAAGCATGCTAAAAGTACCAAGATCTGTGTTTTTGCATGAGGCCAGATTCGCACAATCGAGCAGGGACCACAGCATTGATGGCGCTAGTCCAGGGGGTCAACCCAAGACGAACAGAGTAGACATAACAATCAACGAATTTTTATCGCATGCAAGCAGTGTATCTGACACCTCGGCTCTTGATACAAAAAAGTACCATGTGTAATGCTAAATTGAATAACAACAAAGCATATCAACTACAATCCGGCACGTAGATGGATATCCACGGTACACTATGTATACCCAACTTCCAGCCTAGCCTATAGGAGGATAGGTGGCAAGCTCGCTTGCTAGTGATTTTAAGCCTCCTTTTTATCTTCTTTTACCTCCCTTTTTTTCTATCTTTCGAACCTCCACTGATTGCCAGAAAGACGATCACTAGCGATATCGAAGCCGAAAGGTACTGACCAAATCTTGCGCCCATCGTTCGCATACACATTTGCATCATTGTGAGGTTACGCAAGTAGCCATCGGTACCAACGAAAAAACGGGTAGAAATGATGCAAGTCCCGTGTGGGCTGCAAGATCGTGTATCCGAAAAGTCGACATCCTGAAAGGACTGGTCCTGTTCTTAGTAATTGATTAAAAAGACGCCGACATCTGCGTGGTGCGAGGCATTTGCAAACATCTGAAATGACAGCACCTGGCTGGTCTTGTAGTAAGCCGAGGACGGAATGCCATCCTCGCAGTAGAAGCTGGCGTTGTGGCGCTTTCCTGCTTTATACATGGGGAAGATAAAAGAATAGCAACCTGGTGTGTGGCTGGGGGTGGCAACAGTAGTGACAGATGTGTTGCCAATCACAAGCTCTTGCCCGTCGGTCATCACACTGTCCTTAGTTAGTGCACTGGTTGCATTCACGATAGTGGACTAGGCGATGTCTAAGGCCCAGATCGGGGTACCGAACGTCTTTCATAAGTAGCCAGCGCCACAAAAGTGACTATTGTAGCCATAGTAGGCAAAATCAGGCAGCAGGACGGCTTGAACGTCTTCAGAGTCATCGAGTGTGTCGATGACAATGAGACCCCTGCCTGTGTCGATGGCCGATCATGAAGATACATAGCTCTGCCCGAAAAAAAGAGCGAATCGAAGGGGCGACGCGGGTCGATAAGACTGGGGGTATGAATGCGTTGTAGTATTGTCATATGCTTCTGCATGTTGATTCAGCGGATTAAGAAGTGCTGAAATAAGTTTGACCAAGACGTTTAGAAGGTCTCCACCATGTGTTTTGTAACATTGATTGTCTGGCTTCAGGGATAGTTGATCTCGTTGAACCAAGCTAAGAGGTTCGTCTTAGAATTGATGGTGGATTGAGCCGCAGTATCCCACCTAGCGGGGCCAAGTACGAAGGTCGAGGTGGTTCCTTTATCGAACCAGCGCCTGCTTAGTTCCCTGTAGCGAAAAGGCCTGGTGGTAGAAATAATGTAAAGTGAAATTTCCACGCCCGAAGGCTTCGCTACAGGAGAGTGATGTTATCTCGCTCTCATATAGCCTCAGTTTGCTAGCTATCAGTAGACGGATCGAACGTTAGCCTCCGGACATGGCGTCAACAACGCAACATACTTAACTATCGAATGCTAGGATCTCTACAAGTTTTCTAACCACGAAATGGCTCAGATCGGAGATCTATACTTATGGAGAATCCGCATGCAGGTCACTAATCGAGATAGTGTAATCATTAGTCAACTAGTGGCTATTATATTATTATTGCACAATTACAGAAGTAGGGCAACAATCTAAGGCCTTCCTTGCATCGCCCCGTGTTACCCCTTGGTACGACGTTGTGATTTGTGACCAAGAATCAGCTGTCTAGCCTCAAGTAGGAACAAGAGACTGTCTGGCCGTATCCGCAAGCATCGCTCTTGGGCGAGTCATAACTGAGGCTACCTGATTACACAGCTGAAGAAAATAGGGAGCCACACACGCTACGCGCATGAGCTCGGACCTGTCTGCGCGTTGGTCATATCACCGTCTCGTGCCTCGATATCGAATCAAGCTTTAGTATGTGGATTGATGTCAAGGTGCCACAGGGGAGACCGCGGGAATGTGGGGTAAAGGGGAACAGCCACCCGACGCATCCACGAATTAGACTGGCCAGGAGACACTCGCGAATGCATTGTGCTCTATCCCTGACTGAATCGCCATTGCTTAGCTAACTAACTCAGTTCGTACACGGATCTAACTACCGTGGGCTGGCGTGATCAAACTAATTGGACCCGGAGCAACTACAAACTCTCTAGCCACTCCCCGCACTTTCCCCAAAGACTACCATGACGAAAGGGGTTCTGATCTCCGGCTTAGGGCGTAATTCTAGCGAGATTATTGGCCCGACGTTGTGCTTTCATGTGTTAGTGCTGAGCTACGGCACAATGTGGGGCACATGAGAAACATAGTTTGCAACGAACTCCCTCGCTTAGTACACCGAACGAGTCAAGGCTCGTTGCCTTCATACACGGAGAAGCGACGCGGCATGATCTTACGGACAGCATGGTATTAAAGACAGAAGGGTGTGTTCTTATGCAGATGTTGAGTGTTAGAATATTGATCCGTCGCCCCCGACACGAAATTGTCACCGCGCGAAGCCCGCACCCTTGGTACAACCTCAAGGTAATGGCTCTCAAGCCTGGCGATCCCGGATACATGGAGGAAGACGTCAGCCCTATGTTATACTCTATTACGTTTTCCTGTCTTGGATTTGCGCTCTTAATAGTCATCCTCCGGTAAGAAATCGCTTATTGTTTGCCCTTTCATAGTAGATTTTTGGCTGACTTTAACCCAGACTCTTCAGTCGCTTGTATCTCTTGAAGACTACGCGCTTAAACTTAGCAGAATGGCTTGTCGTTGTATCATCATTTGTGGATATTACATCATGTGTGTTAATTCATTTTCAAATCGTGACTGGTATGGGTAAGCATATCGAGTACTCGCGCGAAAGACCAAAGATGTTGCAAGCGAGCATGAAGGTTGGATTAGCACAAAACTCTGTGTATCAGGCACTTGTCGGGTAAATCCATAAAAATTCACGAATTGCTTGAGGGGTCTTTTGCTAATCAGTGAACATAGGTTGATCAAAGCCAGCATGCTCGCTCAATTGCACCTACTTGCCGCGCCTGGAATGCAAAAAAAGATCGTATTTTGGACTGGCTGTTTAGTATGTATCTTTACAATCTTCACAACCTTTGTGAGTAACATGTCTGCCTTGGGTCAAATTTGGTCGGCTGTTAAAACTTTATAGTCTGCAATTTTCCAGTGTATACCAATGAGCGCTGCCTGGAATCTTGATACATTCCCACGTGTAAGTAAAACCCCTGAGATGCTAACACACGCTGACATGACTTAGGGCTGCTGGAATATGATGGCCATGAACTTCTTTACATCAACAATCAACACAATCTTTGACTTTATTATCTTCTTTCTACCTCTGCCAACCCTCTTCGATCTCAAAATGGAGCGGAAGAAAAAAGGTCGGCACTTCTAGACTCAATGTACTCCACGTCTGCTGACAACGAAGTAGTTTCGTTAATCTTTACCTACTGCGTAGGATCTCTTGCTATCGCATGCTCCATCATTCGATTGCGTAACATGATCTACTTTCGAGGAGTCGGAGATTTCACTTACCAAGCTTCTATGGTACCCGTGTGGGGTGCTATTGAGTGCAATGCTGGGATAATTTGTGGTATGTTTGAAGGACATCTCTTTGAGATTTTATGCAATGAGATACTGATTAAATTCTAGGATCTTTTCCATATATTATGCCACTCATCAAGCGTATGAGCGGCAGTATCATTGAAAGCGTCAGTATGTCACGTGTCAATCCGACCTCAAATCAGCAATATGAGGGACAGCACTCAAAACAATTGAGCTGGCCATTGCAATCAAAACGCCAATCTCGATGGCACCAGATGGGCTCAGAATCGATCGAAGCGATTACGGAGAACAATGGATGGAAGGAATTGGACAACGTCAAGAAGAGTTCGCATCGCGATGAGCATTCTGTACCTATTGTGCATAGTCCACGTGTGCCGACCCTACCGCATGATACTGTGTAATATAATTGGTTAATCTCATAGATACTGACCACGAGTACACTGTTGTCTTTGGACTTGAGGCGGATCTTCCTAAAAGCCTTTCGGCTTGGTCGTCATATTACAAACAGATTTCATTCATTCCAGTTTAAGTCAGCCCCATAGAAGATGTGCCAGCATATTTATTAGAAATCAGCATAGGTTCGTAAAGCGAATTATTTCATATTGGAGTATTGCGCTAACTTTACTGAACCTGATTTGACGCCCTATATAACTACTACATGTTCCAACAACACAGCTCCATACAAAGCTCTTGTATAAATAGAGCCCTACTGAATCTTCCTATGGTAATAATTGAAAAAATAGAATCTCTGGCACTTTCTATAGACAATGCTATGGTACAGGAGGAAACATTATGCTGTTCTTTCAACACCCGCCATATATAGGACATCGCAGCATAATTTGAATGGGAATTCTAGCAGAATCTTGGTTAAAGATGAATCGTTCACTTACCGACCTTTGACAATCAATGAATCCGAAAAAATTAAGCTTCGGACCGTGTCCGTAAGCGGAATCCACCTCAATGAGCTTATCCACCCGATTTGTGCAACCTCTAAATAAAACATAGTAACCCCAGGATGAAATAGAGCTTCTTCCAGTGAAGCATTTCGATGCATCTATGTTTGATGTGAGTTGGATCATGCTTCCCAGAAGGAAGATTTTGCTGGGCGTTACATTAGTTCGTTGAAGCCAGTGGCTGAGTGTATCTAGGTCCTTCAAGTCGCATGCATTTATTGAGAAGAAGAGAGATATCAGACTAAAGAAGAAGGCTGATAGCGGGGTACAGGAGGGGCTTAATCGCCGAATTGAGTTTAGTAGCGTATTAAGGTAATAGATGGGGACTATTGGTGTGCGGTCGCACTACCAACATAGCCCCGCCCCTTTCAATCCTTTCCTTCTTTACTGCATTCGTTTGGTGTTATAAATCTCGAGCTTGATCTTACCAAACAAGACCCGTAAAGACAAGGCATTATGTCATTCCGTAGTGCAGACTCTCTTCATTCTCGACTTTTTGTAGATCTAGAATGGCTGAGATACCCACACAATGGTTATGATTCGGTCTCGCTATGCGAGTATCTGAAAGTCCGATCGAGGAAAGAATTTACAATGAACAGTTTGGCGGCGAGCTAGCAAAAAATGCTCACATTCTGCTTGTTAGAAGCAGTGATCGAAACACCATTACAATTAGCAGAAGACATGCTGGTTAAGAGCGATCACAGCGACAAGCTGGTCATGACTACGAGCTGTCCGATCGACATTATCCGCAGCTGGCTTTCTCGAATCGAACAGACTCAGGAACAGCTTTTGGAACCGTGGTTCGAACGAGCTCGCGCAAATCTGCTCTTAGCCCATTTCCTCATAGTGTCGTTGACAACGATGAATTTCAGGCCATTCGAACTGCTCGGCGATGCAATACCATCAATGGTGTGTTTCATTGCAATCATCGCTGAGACATTATTCAACGCGCACACAAGGATGGCACTAGGACACCATATGACTACTGGAGGCTTCTCGTGGTCGGGGCATCACCAATTAGAAAACCATTGCAAGGAGAAATGCATGCGGTTGGATGGTGTTTTTACACCACTGAATACCTGATCAGTACTACATCAGTGTCACATTTGCAATATGCTTACAAGTAGGGTCCGCTAGACGATGGCAAGAATCACTCAGATTGTACGCCACAGCATTGTGCGGCTTATGGTATCGATACAACGACATACATCGCAAAGCACCACAGCAGGTGCAGATCTGTAACGGAGACCCCAGACGCGCTTTGTGAATGTTGCAGACCGATACTTGGGAAAGTCATTGGTTGCGTTGAGAATGGCCAAATAATCGCCGTCACGCTCAATTCTTCCGGTCTTCAAGTTCACAAATAGACTGACATTCCATACGTGGCGTTATCTTACGTGTGGGCAGACGGTCTTGGGAGCACCTCGGAAAATAGACTTTCTATGTGCCAATTGCAGCAGCTGAGCGCACTTGTATCCACATTGCGCCCAGACGCGGCTTTCTGGATAGATAGTATATGCGTTCCGAAGGCGGGGCATGCTCGTAAGAAAGCTATTAGTATGATAGCACGCACCTACCAAGATGCCGAAGCTTATTTGGTACTAGATAGCAGTCTACAGCTCATGAAGTCTACTGGGTCGCTTGGCGCAAAACTGCTAGCAGTCTTGACTTCTGGTTGGATGCGACGACTCTGGATACTGCAGGAAGGCATGCTGGCGAAGCAACTTTACATACAGTTTGCCGACGCCAACAAAGCGTTAGGTGATCTGATACCCCAAACTAGCGATATGTTACTACAACGATACCAGGCAGATCTGGCTGCAGAACTATTTCGCCTGATGAAGCGGTCTGGCTATGGCACCTACACGATTGGTAACGCGTCCCGGTCATTACGCTGGAGAGATACAACCCGAGCCACAGACGAGGCCTTGGCCGTTGCGAGTCTCTTGGGAATCCAGATCTTCCCTTTTTGTGACTTGCCTGGAGAAGAGCGTATGGTACTACTCTTCAAGGAACCCCATACATTTCCTAAGAACATACTCTCTTTCTTGGATCCAAACTGGACATTCTGTGGTCTCGCTGGATTCCGGTGTCACTTATGGTCGCTCGAAACAGCAGTAGAGGTGGTTTGGAAATAACTTCGCGAGGAGCTGGGGCCGCCTATACATCCGAAGGTCTCAAAGCAACATACTATCAAGTACAGATAGAACAACCTATCATTGCAGCTTGGTGTTGACCATGACCTCCATACCACATGGGAGTATCATCCCGTGCGGGGCTGCACTTGGAAGCAAAAGACCTTCAGAACCTAGTGGAGATGGCTCGTTCACGGTTCCTTGTGAGTACGAGCGGTGGCTGGTGTTAGTTGATGTTGCAGAGGATGATCCTAGGACTAGAGGTCATCTCGTATCCGAGACCTGACGAGCGGCGCACAGACGAGGTACTAGTATCGTCTTCCAACCGCAAGGCCGTCTGGCTAAGTATCAGCCAATTCAACCTCGCCGCTGGAGCACCAACGGTACGCGCGCAGAGCAATGCTTGTCACGACATAGCGACAAACTTTGTACCAGACCCGAATGACGTGGGCCAACTACTATCATCCCCAGGTAAGCCCTATCAATGTTTCCTCTTGAAGTTCCAAAGAAGTTCTGCTTACCCTTCGATTAGGTACTATGTAGAAGCAAGGGCACGAACCTAAAGCTACTAGAACATAGTCGCGTACCTGCACGCGGTTGAGCTAAGTGCAATTAGTCGATTTCGTGTGAAGAAGAAGTTCACCACTCTCGGCCCAACTACCTAACTCTGACTATTCAAGATAAACTACTTGGTAAATAGTAATCTTAATATCAAGCTTAGCTAAACCTTGCTTCTAGCTACTTTGTTTCTCTTTGCAAAGACTCTAGCCTTCTACAACTTATGTTCATTAAAAGCTTATGAATCTATGATTTTTCTTCGTCTATATTGCCTAGGTAGTGAACTTTGTCTGATTCTCCTTTGCAAACCCTTGGGCAACCTTCCTTACCTCCTCGCCGCCAAGTTCTTCAAAGATATCAAATCCCCACCGCGACTGCACGTTGAATCGTTTGCATCTCTCCAATCGGCTGAGTTCTTCGAATGCGTCCTTTGGCAATGCCTTTACCTGTCCGTTGCTTTTGATGCGACTCGGCGTGACGCTCTTGGGCAGTACCACGGTGCCGCGCTGGATGCCCCAGCTAGCGAGGAGTTGCCCACGGTCCATGCCTAGTCTGTGACCCAATACACCGACAAGCTCATCATCCATAGTGCGCGGTTCGCCTGTTTGGTTGTTTCCCAAAGGAGAATATGCTTCAACAAGGATTCCTTTTTCATTGCAGAAGTCAAAGAGAGTGGGTTGTTGGAGGTAGGGGTGTGCCTCGATTTGATTAACAGCCGGGACGACGTCGGTCTTGGACAAGAGGTCTTTTAAGCGGTTGATGGTAAAGTTGGAGACGCCGATTGCACGGACTTTGCCAGTACTGAGTAGCTTTTCCATGGCCTTGTAGGTGGTGGCTGGGTCAATGTCTACGAGGTCAAAGACGCCATCGTCACGCAGGGGGAACCACTTGCCCTGCTTGCCGTTGAAGGCACTAGAAGATTGTAAGTATGTGTTGTTAGTTTATATTAAAGAAGCTATACATACACGGGCCAATGCATAAGAAACAAGTCAAGATATTCAACACCAAGATCCTGGAGCGACTGATTGAGCGCTGCCTCGACATCTTCTGGTGCGTGCTTGGTGTTCCACAGCTTTCCAGTCATGAAGATTTCTGAGCGTGGGACGCCACTTCGTCGAATGCCATGGCCTACTTCTACTTCGTTGCGGTAGATGGCCGCGCAGTCGATGTGGCGATAGCCTGCCTTGAGCGCTGTTTCCACCGCTTGCTCAACCTCACCAGGCTTGGCTTGCCATGTGCCAAAGCCAAGGGCGGGTATCTTTGCACCGGTGTTAAGGGTGAAGTGTGTGGGAAGGGCCATGGCTGTTACGATGGGACGTCAGCTTGAGGACGGTGGGGCCAACACAAGATGGAGTAGTGTATATAAGCAAGAGAGTGCAATAACCGGCCGTTTGTACAACACCATGATATATATCTGCACTCTGAGTATTTCCGATGTATGAGTGAAGTATGGGATCAGGACGGGGCAGTTGCCCTTTGCCGCAACCCGCAGCCTGCAACCCCGCGGGTGAATTGCTTCCGTCTCCGATGAGCTAGGAACGGACGTTCGCCCCGGAACGGATATCCTTCTCATTGGTCTGTCTTCCTCATTCACTACACCTGCATCCGCAACCATGCCCTCAGACGGTGCCACTGGGCTATCACCAGCTTCCACAAGTTGTACGTCAAAGCCCCAATGAGGAATTCTGAGTCCCCAGGTGTCCGTGGAGCTGACCCGGAATAGCGCAGACAGGCAGCATAGTACCCCAGAAGCGGACCGCCGACGCCGCTCATGGCAGGCAACGCATGGTCAAGGTCACGCGAGCCTGCGACGTCTGCAAAGCAAGAAAATCAAAGTGTTCAGGCGGACAGCCATGCGAGAGCTGCACGCGCCGCCAACTGCACTGCCAGTACGAGGCCATCTACACGAGGGGGAAGAGGGCCGCGCTTCGTCCCCCAGACCCGGCTGCTGGGCGTTCACCTCCCGTCAGCATGCAGCAAAGAAGCACTCCCCAACCTCCTCATCAAGCTGCAGCAATTATGGCTGATCCATGCCTTGCCGTTGCTCAGAGCGCCAACGATGCGGACCCGCCGTCGCGGGCTTCCCCGGGCCTCGAGGTAGCTGGGCAGTACTCAGACACCACGTCCGGTCTCTCATTTCTCCATCGCGCCTGGCGTCGCATCTCCAACAAGGAAGGCTCCCAACTTGTCAACGGTCAGCTTGGGCTAGCCGAAGACAGTCAGCTGCTGATGAGCGCTGGCGACAAACCTTTTCAAGAGATTGGTCAAATGCAAATGCCATCATCAGAACGTAGCCACGCCCTGCTAGATTTGTATTTTGATGTATGCATTGCAACCTATCGACTACTTCATCGGCAAACGGTGGAGGCTTGGCTGTCATGCGTTCTCGAAAATGCTCAATTTAATGTTGCACTTTCCAACGGTACGCAGGTGCGCAAAGGTCGTAACACGCAGCCTATCTTACTAATCTGTTTCATCAAGGTATCGGTCGTGCCAAAACAGCAGTGGTACTTTCAGTACTTGCAATTGCATCCTTCCACGAAGAAAAGGCCATAGGCGACATCGCATCATCGCCCGAGAACGAGTTGAATGTAGAGCCACAGAGCGAACTCTTCTTTGCCGAGGCTGCGCGCTTAACTGCGAGCGAAACCGGTATTCCACTACTTGAGTCAGCTCAATGTAGACTTATCCAGGTTTTGTATCTACTCATGTCTTGCCGATTCAATCAAGCGTGGTACGTTTTTGGTCATGCTCTCCAAATCATACCGGCCTTGGGCCTGCATCGAAAAGACGATCGTAAAAGACCCGGATCTGCTACTAAGCGCGATTATATTGAACAGCAGTGTAGAAAGAGAACATTCTGGGTGGCGTACATTCTGGACAAGTACCTCGGCGTCATCTTTGGACGTCCCAGGCACTACCACGATGACGATATTGATCAAGATTTCCCAGACGCTGTAAACGACGAAAACATGACCAGTGATGGGCCACGGAACTCAAGTTCGGATGACTGCCACCTAGATTCGTTGATGTGGCATGCACGTCTTGCACAGATCGCAGAGCGTATCTCGCGCGAGGTGTATTCCATCAAGCCGGTATGCCAATGGTTTTTTGATGTCACGCTAATATTGTCCTGACTGTGTGAGATCCAGATACCAAACCATCTCCGGCTCACTGCTTCTCATCGTCTGGGAGCCGCATTGCGTGAGTGGAAGTCTTCCCTCCCCCCATTCCTAGGCTCCGTCAACCCGAGTAGCCTGATTCCTACTTTTCGCCGGCAATCCACTGCCTTGAAGCTTTCGTACTGCCATGCGGTCATGTTAGCCCACCGCCCTTTTCTTCTTAAGAACACCTTGCGCGACAACGATTCCATGCAAGATCTTGCAGAGGATAGTCTCCATGAGTGCATCTTGGCTGCGCGCTCAGTGCTTGATGCAGTCGACCGTGTCGCGCGTGAGGGTCGCATGTTTCACGCATTCTGGTGGACACACTACGTCTGCTTTTGCGCCTTGCTTGTGGTATACGTATCAACTATACAGGATACCTACCGAGGTTCAATGGCAGTTGGTGATCGCCAGAGTATGCTAGATCAAGCTGAAAACTGCCTGCAACACTTGGCGCGGGCCACAGCCTCTAATTCCCCATCACGAAGATATAGCATTATCCTCCAGGAACTTCGAGCTGAGGCCAAAAGAAAGACAGCCGTCCCAACTCAAGACTGTTTGCCGCCGTCTTCGGCTGCAACTATTGCCGGTGACCCAACGACGTTACCTGTAGAAGCTACGAGTGATTCTCATCCGTCGAATCCAACTCTACAGATGTGGCAACCCCTTTTCAGTAGTCCAATGAACATGACAGCACCAGGTTTACAAGACTTTTTGGACGATTGGCAGACAACCGACTGGCTTGACCTTGACTCTTCAGCATTTGGCCCTTTTCCTGAGATGGATGGTGGATGTTATCTTAGGTGAATTACGGCAGATACTTGATCACCGAAACGATTAGATGTATTCCTTTGCAATATACCTCCCCCGCCACTGCCTGGTTGTTCTAACATCTACAATGTATATCTAAAAAGCGGTGACTTATCCCCCATGTCCAGGAGTTCTTCATCGGTGTATCGTGCGCGAATCTCATCCTCGCTGAGCTTCACCTTCTTTGAGTTACCCCACTTGTACGACAATTCAAGCAGGAATGCGACAATGAAACCGCTAGCACCAAAAGCGAGTGATAGCCCGAATCCTGTCTGGTACTTGGGCTTCTCGCTCTCCAGATACATATAACTACCAATGACACCGCCAATGTTGCCGATGCAGATATTGAAAGCCACACCAATAGCTCGTCGAGAAGTTGGAGCTAAGTTGTTCGCCGCCCAAGAGCTTCCTGCAGGTTGTACTGGGTAGATACCCATGCATGTAAGGATGATTGCAAAGAAAGCAGGGCCGAGGTTGCCACCAAGATTGCCATCGAAAGAGATAATGACTGAGTAGCCAATGAAGATCAAGCACAAGGGGATCGCGACGAATGGTAAGCGCCAGTAGAATCGATCCGAGAGCTTAGCAAAGAAGATGGAGCTCAAGGCTCCAGCCACGTATGGCGGGACTGTCATCAGTTGCGCATTTGTGTTGCTAAACCCCATGCCCTTAGTGATAGTGGGCAACGTGAATTTTGTTCCTAGCGGCAATTTAGTGCATGGAAGATAAGGAAAAGAACAGTTCATACCGTAGGAGCAGGCCGAGATGCAAAGCAGAATATATGCCTGCATGTAAAGACGCCAATTGCAGAGGACCATCTTCAAGTCATTCCAATTGAAGCTCTCCTTCTCCTCCTCTCCATGTTTTCCTCCATCTTTGATGAATCTTTGGAGTTCAAGGAAGCGAATTTCGTCGGGTTTAAGCCACCTTCCGCTCAATGCAGGAGAGTCGATCAGGAAGAAAAAGCATGAAACGCCGAGGCCAACGGTGGCGATGCCCTCGAGCAGGAAAATCCATCGCCAACTAATTACGAAGCTGGATTAGCATGTTTAAAGGATAGAAACATATGGCCGTATACTGTACGGGATGACAACTATCAACTCATCGACGAGGGGCAAAGTTAGTTCGAAACCACTTACCCTTCGTATCCTCCAACGCCATCCATCTTGGCAATGGCTGCCGCAAGTAGACCACTAAAGGCCCCAGACAGTGCCGACGCGCAATAAAAGTATGAGATTCTCGTAGCAAGGTGTTTCGGCATATACCAGTAGGAGCAGAGGTAAACCGCGCCTGGAAAGAAACCAGCTCTTCGACTGCTTAGCAAAGGATCGCAGTTTACAGTTGCGCATAACTCACTCGAATACACCAAGAAGAATCCTGGTTATCAATAGGCCGGCAAAGTTCTTCACCACACCCATCATTGTCATAATGATGCCCCAGCTGATAATGAGGATACCAAGGTAGTATGATGGTCGTTTGAACTTTTTTAGCAACATGTTCGACGGAACCTCGAGTAAGATGTAGGGTACGAAGAAGACCGAAAGAACGACGTTCCATTCAACGCCATTCAATCCAAGATCGCTAACCATTCCTTCAATTTTCGCATTCTATTCAATATTAGCGCTACGATTTTATCAGTCTTTTGGTGCAATATTTACGCCAATATTCGCTCGATCTATGTGAGATATGAGGTAGAGGACTGCCAACATGGGCACGAGACGAATGTCAACCTAAGAATGTCAATACAACAAGATTGTTCCCAGTATCGCATTAGCCTACCTTGCGAAGTACTCTCTTTCTCTTTTCTTCTGGATAGTTGGTGTAGAAATCAGCATCCTCGGGTGCAAGCCCCAAAACCTGGAAGTTGTCGATCTTGACCATTTGAGGCGCTTTTGAAGCCTGGATCGAATCTGCTGCATCGTCGACGCAATGAATCTCGTTCTTGTCAATGGTAGCCATTGTGCTACCTACTTAGCAAAGATGTTTGGACAATATGAGAACGTAGCACAAAGGCTTTACACAGTTGAAAATAGTGCCTTTTACAAAAGCTGTGATACCCCAGGGCATATCCCAAAGCTTTATACCTTTCTCTTAGCCATAGCAACCCGGCAGGTAGGTGCCCTAGCTTGCGGAGAATCGTTTGATTCCGGCCATTTAGTTTCCTGGGGAAAGCCAAGTGCGGGGAAATCTATTCATACCAAACTCAATCTAGATATATTCAGCTGCGCTAAGGCTCTCCGATGGCGTTAAGATGGCTTCCACACGAATCAGAGGTAAATCCGTCTTCGTCGGATATATGCAAGTATTTCCGAAACACCATTAATCCATATCCTGATTTCAGTGCCATACTACATAATAGCATGTCCTCCGCTACACACCATACCATACTTCATTCACTGTTCTTCTACCATCTACCTCGGGGCACATCTTCACAATCATGGTGCCCGCACATATCGCTCTTGCTACTTCTGTGCCACCAGCACGTCCGCCGGCTACCTTCTTAGATATCCACAAAACTAATTTGCAGCCGGATGAGTCTACAATACAAACTGTAGACGCACTAGTTCGACATCGTGCGCGTCAAAGTCCTAACATCACTATCGTCTCATATCCAAAGTCGGGGACAAATTTTGTCGATTACTCGATGCAACAATTAGACGTTTTTGCCTTTAGGGTAGCCCGTCATTACCAGGCACTCATTCCGACAAGGGAAAGCTCATCAGAAAAGCCTACAACAGTAGCGCTGCTTGGTCCAAGCAACTTTGAGTACTTGGTCACGATGCTGGCTCTAGCCAAGCTTGGCCACACAGTGTTGTTCCTCTCAACAAGGATATCTCAAGCTGCCGTCGACTCATTGCTAGCAACAACTGGCGCCAGATATCTATTAGCGGACTCGCGATATGCTTCCACGGCCTCTGAAGCTCAAAAGAGCCTTCCTGACTTGTACATCAGTCGGATCGTCACGTCAGATATCTTCGAGTTTCCCATTGAAGTTCATGCGGATACTCGCTTGGATTATCAACTCGATCATAGCATCGAAGCTTCAAATAACATTTTCATCATCCACTCGAGCGGTGAGTAGCACATGGAAGTTCAAATAACACTTGCTAATTCGACCCAGGCTCTACTGGACTACCCAAGCCCATCTATCAGCCTCAGAAAAGCACAATCGCAAACTACGCCATCAGCATGAACATGAAAGCGTTCATCACCTTACCACTGTACCACAATCACGGTATCTGTAATTTCTTCCGTGCAGTGCATAGCGGCAAATCCATCCACATCTACAATGCCGACCTACCTCTTACACAGCCACACCTTGTAACTATCTTGAAGCAGCATGATTTTGAGATCTTTTACGGTGTTCCCTATGCTCTCAAACTTCTCTCAGAAACTGATGAAGGCATCCATCTTTTGAAACAACTCAAGATTGTGATGTACGGAGGAAGCGCTTGTCCAGATACCCTAGGCAATTTATTAGTGGAGAATGGAGTAAACCTAGTCGGTCACTATGGAGCGTAGGTTTTCGTCTTTGCATACGTTCACCATACAAGCTAACAAGACACAGAACAGAAGTGGGTCAACTAATGACATCTTTCCGGCCCCAAGGAGATATGGCATGGAATTATGTTCGCGAAACACCAAGGCTCTCTCCTTTTCTTCGATGGGTCACTCGCGGAACCAATCTGTATGAATGCACAGTCTTGCCAGGGTGGGCAGCAAAGGTAGCTTCCAACCTTCCCGATGGTAGCTACGCCACGAAGGATCTCTTTGAACCGCATCCAACTATTGAGAAAGCTTGGAAGTACATTGCTCGCCTCGATGACACCATTGCATTGCTGAATGGAGAGAAGTTCAACCCAGTCATGATGGAAGGCACCATTCGATCGCATCGAGCTGTCAAAGAAACTATCATCTTTGGTTTCAACCGACCCTGCCTAGGCATGTTGATTGCGCCTGCAATTGAAGACATGTGCGAGTCTGAAGTTATTGATGAGATATGGCCTATTGTCGAAGCAGCAAATCAAACTGCAGAAGCATACGCAAGGATATCTAAGGACATGATTCGGGTCTTGCCGTACGATTGCCCTTATCCCCGTACAGACAAGGGAAGCGTTATTCGACAGGCCTTTTACAAGGAGTTCGCAACCGAAATTGAGAATGCATACGATGCCGCTGCAACAAGCCAGGGTAATCTCAAAACTCTCACTGGCTCAGAGCTGGAGGACCACCTTCGCTCTATCCTGATCAAGCACACGCCGTCTGCAAAAGATATAGGCCGTACAGCCGACCTTTTCTCTCTAGGAATCGACTCTCTCCAATCCATCCAGGTGCGGACAGAGATTCTGAAGACTGTCCATATTGGCGGCAACAAACTTGGTCAGAACGTTGTTTTCGACTACCCGACAATTGCATCACTCAGCGCTCATCTTCACCGCCTTCGTACCGGCGAAGGAGAGCAGCAGTCAACACTAGCTGAGCAAATGGGAGATCTTGTTTCCCGATACAGCTCTTTTGAGTCAGTTCAAAAGAGACGTTTCATCACGCTTACTGGTGCCACAGGCTCTCTTGGAGCCCATGTCCTCGGAGAATTAGTCAGGCGTCCCGACGTTGACGCAGTGCACTGCTTGGTACGCGCCAAGACCAACGGCGATGCTATGCAACGTGTTCGAAAGTCACTCATAGACCGAAAAGTCTACCATACGCTATCGCTTTCAGCGCGCAGAAAGATACATGCACTAGCAGCAGATCTTTCAGATGGTCGCCTCGGCCTAGATGACGCAGCCTACACAGCAATTGCTTCGAATCTTACTGGCATTATTCATTGTGCCTGGAGCGTCAACTTCAACAAGAATCTTATTTCTTTTGAAAAAGACTGTATCGCTGGTGTGCGCCATCTCATTGATCTCTGTGTGGCTACATCCTCGGCGGCGCCTGCAACTTTTGACTTTTGCTCGTCGGTCAGCACAGTCGCGCGGTGCCCTAGTTTGCACACGCCCGAACGAGTAGCGGAATATGATTGGGCTCAGAGTATGGGATACGCACAGAGCAAGTGTGTTGCAGAGCACATTTGCATGGCTGCTGCAGAAAAGACAGGCATCAAGGCTCGAGTGCTGCGTGTTGGTCAGATCGTGGCTGACACAGTGCATGGGGTATGGAATGCTACCGAGGCCATTCCTCTCATGATGCAATCTGCGCTCACCGTTGGAGCACTTCCCAGGCTACAAGAGTCGCCAAGTTGGACGCCCGTCGATGTGGTTGCAAAAGCAGTGACGGAAATTTCATTCAGCAATGCCGGTTCTGTGGTTGCGAACGTCACAAATGCAAAGACTTTTTCTTGGGCTGATCAGCTTCTCCCTGCTTTACGCGAGGCTGGCCTTAACTTTGAGGAGGTCGAGCCCAAGGAGTGGGTGCGGAGGCTTCGAGCATCGAATCAGGATCCAGTGGCCAACCCATCTGTCAAGCTGGCTGATTTCTTCGCATCAAAGTATGACAAGGACACTTTCAACCCTACACGGACATATGAAACGGCCGTTGCGCGCTCATACTCACCATCACTAGATGCTGCTCCCGTGCTCAGCACAGAGTTTGTCAAGACCTTCATTAAGCAATTCCAAGCCACAGCATGGAGCGCACAGACTTCCGATGTCACAGAAAAAAAGAAGTTTGTTGTATTCACTGGACCTTGCGGAAGCGGTAAATCGACTATAGCGAAAAATCTTGCTGGCCACTTCAAGGCTTCGTTCATCGAGGGTGATGATCTGCATACAGTAGACGCAGTCACCGCAATGGCCGCAGGGACACCCCTCGATGACCAAATTCGGACACTCTGGCTCGAACGTCTCAAGCAACGGGCTCTCTATACCAGCACTACATTAGGCTATGATTGCATCTTTCTTTCTTGCTCTGCTCTGAAGAAGTCTTACCGCAATCAGCTTCGCAGCTTCCCTAACGACGATTTTGATGTCACGTTTGTTGATCTACAAGTGGAGCAGGAGGAACTTGTACGTCGGGTCAAGGAGAGAAAGAACCATTACATGAAGCATAGTATGGTGGAGAACCAGACTGCTACCCGGGAAAGACCCGATGACTCAGAGACAGACGTATTTCCGGTTGATGCTGGGCAGCCTGTCGAAATGGTTATGGAAGAAGTGGCAAGCCTTTTGGACGCAATTGATTAGATAGATGGAATTACTAATCTATAGATTTAGATCAACTGATCAATAAGACTATACCATATTGTTCGCACTATATACTTCTAATCTAAGCATAACTGAACTGAGTGATCTAGTCTGATTAAATCAGATGAGATCAGGGGATTAAAACAACAAATGGCTGAGCTACTCAGCATCAGCATGACCACTTATGCTGCGACAATTTTACATTGTCTTTGTGTGTGTGAGGATAGTGAATCACACTGATTATCATCTGTTAATTCCTTTTCCCTGAAATTCATAGCTATTGTCTAGAATGTGTGGTTACAAAAAGAAAGAAATAATGAGAATAATAGCTATAGATACTATTACTAAGTAAGAAGTCTATAGACTCTTAAGACTTAGAATGTATACTTATTTTATGCATCGAGCACCCGCGCAAATAGAGGTGAAAAACGCTTCACGACAACGCTAAGGCTTACGAGCGCAGCTCGGGGTAGAGTTAGGTCATAGTTAGCTTATATGTAGTAAGGATCTTCTTTCATGTATCCTACTTGCAGTTTCGATCCCAGCCTGATCGATCGCCCCATGGTAACCGCACACCACATTCGCTACAATAGCACGAATCACTTTCACCAGGAGATCCGACGATGATGTCTAGTCACGCTTTTTGGAATCCAATAACACTGACCCTACGCATGAGCGAGTAATAGTTCGATACATCATGTATGCAGAGTTAGGTAATGGGTTATGTTTTCCGGACACATTTTCTCGAATGCAGATGACCCAACTGGCACAGTACAATATGATCAAAAACCTGCGTATCGTGCTGTTACGTTTTCGTCGACAGCATGATAACTGCATATACCATGTAGAAGCAATAGCCTGCAGGTCTGCTGATGATCATTTCAACAAGTCAAGTCAGGGTTTTTTCTTTGTTCTTTTCTTTTCAGTCAGAATTTACAAGGGTGCTAGTAGTTAATCAGGTATCACGCAGTATCTCAGATGCCCAACCTGCAATCAATGCAGATTCGCAGTGACACTTGTGATGCAATACACAATCCAAAACGCAGCAACAAAAGAATGTTCAAAGGAAATGTAATATGATGATGATGTTAATGAGAGATGTAGCCTCTGGGCCAAGTACAGGTCCTCTGCCAAAGCACTGTGTATGCCCATCAGACAAGGTCATACCAATGGTAAGAATCGGAAAAGCAAAAATTCAGCTTATCGCATCCCGCCGCATGATTTGCATGATTGGTATCAAGCCTCACAACTTGAGTGATTTGTGAGGTTAGAAGTGCACCCAAGAAAAACTCAGATACCATGACTGCACGCTGCAGCCTTCACGAGAAGGATGCAATATACATCGCGCAAGCTGAGGGGTACATCGTGTGCCAACACAATCTGTAAACACTGTTTATCAAGTCATTCTTGTTAGCTCATAACAGTGTTTTTGTGGGGAAAAAAAGACCGATGAGTTATCCTATATTTACCTCACAGTAATCGCTGCTTCCGTAATAGTTACCCGATCTACCAAGAACATCAGGTCCCACGAGAGTGTTTAAGGAGCAGTATCAGATCGGAACCACCCGTACCTTCTACTGTCACCCCGGTCCATTCTTCGTGCAAATCTTGCTTCTGCCGCCCCCACGGGATTATCATGTACTGCACCACGATCCTGAGGTGATGATTTCTAAGCTCACGCATCGCGTTCTTGCTCTCCAAGAGAGCTTGCATGACGGCTACGCTATCCTTAGGAAAAGTCTCAGCTAGCCGATCGCAGGCGTTTAACAGAGAATGGTCTGATCTGATACTGTCTAGAAACGACCGGGGAGGTAGCGGCATGTATCTTGATATCGCCTGTGTTATCACGATCAGTCAGACCAAAAACCTACTCATGCGCACATGCAGAATATATGCTTACCTGCATGAATTCTCCACTACGCAATCGCGATCCTCTCTTCCGATTAGTGCATCAATATATTGTAATAACGAACTTTGAGCGTTACTCCCGCCACTGAAGGTTTGGTAAGGCGGGATATTGTCCTCTGGCTTGTGGATGATACCATGTGGTAGTCCTGAGGATTCCATGCTTGCGCCTCCTGCTAGCAGAGGTCGTAATTTTCAGTAGAAAGTTTCTGGATCACATCCCTCCCGCATTCGATGCACCATAGCCTGCATCTCTTGAACATAACCGGTGAGTATTTTGATGCAATTAAGTACTTCCTCGACTGACAGCTGCTGTATGCGATCGAAAAACGGCATAGTGTCATGGAGAAGCCGAGTGCCAATCCACTTAATTGCCGTAGAGATGCCGAAGAGCCATGATTCATCTGCAAGCCCGGTAGAACTGACGTTTGTAGAAAGTTTTCTTGATCGCATGGCAGTGTTCGCATCTTTGAGATGATGATTCTACAGGCAATACGCCGCGAATGTCGCAGTAGGCACTAGGCTAGAGGCTTTACAAACCGCCAGGTATGGCTTGGGGAGTATCTGGGGGGCTTTCTAAGGCTGTGTAACACTTGTACTGGAGATCGCGGAAGAAATTGAAAGACTAATTTCGCAGGGCTTAAATTGCTGTGTCAACGCTGCAAGTGCGCAATAGCATACCAAGTCCAACGGTCTCGATATGCGCTTTCCCCAGACTTTGCTGTCCCACCTCGGAGTTACCTTCAACCTGCAATACTTCATGCAGCAGCCGTTCTAAGCTTCCATTGATGAATTCTCCTTCTGCCGACAGTATACAATTGCATTTTTTTTGGGGGGGGGGGGCCTTTGAAAATTCCTGTTGAGAAATTTGAGGAGCCGTAACAATGTAGAATTGAAGAAGGCGAGGACGTCAACCAGGATGGAAACCTCAAGGCTATCATCACTCTTGCAGAAGACTCACACCTCGACACCTCCGACCGAGCGTCCACACCCAACAATAACTGTCGCCTTCGAAATGCCAGTGCTAGCAATGCCATTGAAGACTCCTGTCTTCCCAAAAACCATAAGCAAAGCCGCTACAATGAGGGCTACATCGTATCCCATGCTTCATTCGTCAAGGTCACCGATGAGATGAAAACGTTCGAGCGACTTATTCTCGTCGCATCATCTGCCGAGAGGCATGGCGTACCAGCGATGACATAGTGTCGGAGGCTCAGCCACAAACCACTGCGCCATTGCAGCCAAAAAGGCAAGTACTAGCGTAACTCCTTATTGCGTACGTTCTTACCTCGGTGTAAGTTTTATAGCCAATAAGTTGACAAGCGTGGTACTTGTAGTAGTATCCTAAGCTTTCTTGCACGAGCCGCGCAAGTTCGCGCCATTCATCATCATATCCAAACAAGCACCCTTAGCCGATTGCTTGCTACTGCTTGTCTTGAAGTACACAGCTGTCACACTCGGTAAAATCTCAAGTGCAAACAAAGAGTGCAAGGCGAAGTGGAATTGCAATTTTGGTATCTCACCTGATAAAGCAACTGATCTATTGTTATTTTTCACAGAGATGAAGGGTCCAAGAGCGGGAATACGAAGGGACCTGATATCCCACCAAACAGGGCTTAAAGTTCAACTTGTGTTTTATGCATAAGCGGCGGTGTGGGTGGCTGGCCAGAAGTGTTCATTTGCGGAGGATGCGTGCCAGGGTATTCTATGCAAGTACGAGCCTCGTACCGGCTCGTGCGGCCTTTTTAAGTTAGTTATCGGCCCTTTTAGGGTTGGCGACTGCCAGTTTTAGCTCGCGGTATTACTACTTAATTTACAAGCATTGCCAAGCCGTATGATTGGGAAAAGCGCCGAATTCCAAACGTAACAATCCATACAAGTTTCAAGGTTGATTATGGAGGATGGTCGGTTTCTAGAAGGACTTGAACGTCTTCCATGTACTTACCGCCTCAGGCATTGACCACGCTTAGCCTGTCGAGGGTTAGATCCCCGTGGTACTATATCATCCGTCGACTTGTTCATTGGTCAGGCCGGTTAGACATTGTCCATCCAACCCGTCCACAGTAAACACGGGCGTACGGCGATATTACAACGGCGCTTCTCCAACACTGGGCGTTGCGTTGGCTTGCTTATAAAAGGATAGGGTTGGCCCGACTACGTCCTACTTACACAGCACCTGTTGCTTCACGCTTCTCAACAACCAGCCTAATTTCCTACTCTAATTCCCATAATCTACACTCAAGATGCGTGTCGCTCTTCTCGCTGCCATCGTTCCAGTGGCCCTCGCTGGCTGGAACCCCAAATCATGCAATGGAGCCGGAGGCTGCACCCAAGTTGGCTACTCCAACTCGGGCCCTTTCGTCTGCCCCGATGGTAGCAGATTGAATCTTCCTTCGTTCGCGGGTGATAACTTGAACGCTGGCAATGGAAACGCCGATCCCGTGTCGAAAGAGGACTTCCCCAAGTCGTGCACCAGCGGCGCTGTCCCTCCTGCCGACGCTACCTTCATCGTAAGTAGAGCCTTATCCCTAGTCTTCCAGAAATGCCGAGTCAACACACAGCAATACCAATACTAAGCCCCACCAGAAAGTCAAGTCGAAGAATAACCAGACCATGTTCTTCTATGTTACGGGCAAGTGTGATACCCCCAAGCCGGAGGCTTTCAACTGCTATAGCAAGAACCCGAACCCATCTGTGTAAGTCATTGATCAAGCTTCTCCCAAAATTGCTAGCGTGCTAACTATTACAAAGCCACACATTTTGTTCCATGTATGATACCAAGGGCGCCTTGTGCAAGGAGAACAACGCGGCCGGATACTGTGAGCGTTGGGGATACTCGACTGTCAACCCTCAGTGCGCCTTCTGGAAGCCAGGTGGCCCGGACCTCCCCAACACCCAGTAATGATTTCGCTAGTATATCTTCTTGTATATAATGATTATACTGGCTGAAGACACAGTCGTGATGATATATAGCCTTTGGCACTGCGCGACAATGAAATGTGACTTGAATTATTTCTTACCATGGGCCATACTGGATTAGTGCTGAAATATGATTGTAACTCTTGTCCCCAGCGTCGCGAGGGCTTTGGTCAATAGAGATTGGAACATGCAGCATTCCAAGTGTAGCAAAGGTCCAATCCAGCCATGGTTTCCTTACCCATTGAAGTGGTAAGGATGTCACTCCCGTCCTTGTCAACAAATTGCGAACCGCTCCTCAGTGCGAGCGCAGGCGATAAATAAACATATTGATGGTAGGTGTACCTACCCAGTATGGCATGATAGCGAATTGATTGATTGCGGATGGCTGCGCCTGTGACGGACCATGCGGGAATGTCCCCTCTATTACATCTATCGAGGCTCTATTTATTTCATTATTGGAAGACGAATTATCTATGACCAGCGGCTAATAGTAATACATTAGGCAGAGAATGAAGTGTCATTTTAGCAGAAAAAACCAGACACGCAAAAGGCTTTAAATCGGAGGCTTTGCCTCGCCTGGCGCATAATCTTGTGCAATCTTTACAGCGCCTGGGCTGGGCTCGGGGTATGTCGTCCGCCTCTTTGCGCGCACATAAAAGTTCATCGGACGAATCAGCTGGAATTCTGGGTCGTATGTGACTGCATCATCGCCCTCCTTGAAGAACTCGTACCGGTATACGAGTTCTGGCAGGATTACCTTGACTTCTCCAAGTGCAAAGTTGAAGCCAATGCAGCTCCGGGGACCGGTTGCGAAAGGCATGTATGAGTTCTTTGGCCTGTTGGCTACTTCTTCAGTTCCCCAGCGGTCTGGATCAAAGCGGTCCGGATTTGACCAAATGTTGGGGTTGTTGTGGATAGCGTGCAGGGCACAGATGACTACGGATCCAGCAGCAAGCTTGTAACCGCCTGGCACGATGCAATCGACCTTGACTGTGCGTCCCGGTTGAAAGGATGGGTTGTGTAAGCGTTGGGTCTCTTTGACGAATTTATCAAGGAAAGTGAGGCCATCGGAAAGTTCTGGCGTCCATTTGGTGTTTTCATTGACACCAGCATCAACGAGCTCCTGCAGCAGTCGGTCTTGATTTCCTGGGTACACGCACAGCGCATAGAGGAGCCATGAGAGCAGCGAAGAGGTCGTCGTGAAGCCAGCACCTGCTATTGGTAGCATATTAGGAATGACAAGGTCACGTGGTAGCTTGTTGCCTTGGTCATCGGTGGCACGCTTGAGGTAGTCTACCACGCAGCTTGCTCCAAGGGCGGCTGAGTGCAAAGGCAGATCATCTTCGGTATCGCCTTTGGGTGCATTTTCAATAGCCGTGTCCATAATGTTCCACAGCTTGGCGCCGACATGGTGGAGGTACCAAGGGGCCGTGAAGGGTACAACGCTCAACTTGGAGTACCAAGCACCTCGTGACATGACCTTCTTGTTGAGAGAGAGTGAGTATGCGATTAAGATGACCAATTCGTTTAGCGGCGAGTCTGGCGTATCGAAGTGATGGGAATCGTAGCCGAGCGCAAACTTGAACACTGTCTGGGAGGCCAGCTTCAGCATGTATTGGTATGCATTCCAGGCTTCGCCTTGTTCGTCCAGCTGGTCAAAGACCTTGAAAGAGTCCTTGACGGAAGCTTCCATCAAGGGTGTATAATGTCTGATGGCCTTTGGAGCCATGGACGGTGGAATAAACTTGTGCGCTACTCTCCATGCTTCAGTGTCAGTGTCGCAAATGAACAGTGCCCGGTTGTCCTTGATGCCGGCCAGAGGATGGTCTGGTGTAATGAGCTTGCTGAAAAACGCCGACTCTTGGAAAGCGACTGTTGCAACAGCGGGGTCGTTGGTCAGGTAATTCATTTTGCCCATTGAGTCGTATTTGATGATCGGCCCATATTTCTGGAACAAGCGAGCATGGTTTCCCTAGGGAGGATTAATTGTGCTACGGGTATGGACGGCAGCAGACTTACCAGATGGTCAGGAAACACCTCATAGTAGCTGCCTACGAAAGGGAGACCGTCGGGACCAGCAGGGTCCCTGATGGCCTGGCCGTCGACTGTAATGCCAAGATCTTCTTCGCAGTCAAGGACAGCGTCCAAGTCTGGCAAGTCGTTTCCTTGGGCATCTTGCAGAGCGATACCTGAGTAATGGCAGGTTAGCCGATGTACGGGCAAATAAGAAAAGTTTCGAGATGTGTGCTTACCGGTTGCTTGGATGATGTTGTACTGTTCAGCTATGGCGATTTGTAGAGACTCAAAGTCGTGACATTGGTCAACTGGAATGTCTTGGTGGTAGACGTCTTTGTCTTGCCCGACAAGGTAGAAGCCTTTGAGAGTCATTTTGTGCAATGGTCCAGAGTAAGGCAGGTGTGAATCAAGTCTCAAGGCTCGGCCAGGGCAGCAACAAGGCGACGAAGGATTAATATCGTAATTCCACCCTCCCCCTTGGACGGCGACAGTGGTGGGACACATCGATACCATCGGCCAAGAGAGTGGATAGCCCGATAGTATGACGCAGGGCCACCCGCCAGCACACGAATTCGTATCTTCCAGGGCATGAACCGAGGCATCTTTACAAAAAGCGTAGTTGTAATGCAGGTCGTGCGAGCAATCCGGCCGAACCCTTTTCTTTGCAGGTTCTGTGCATCCCAGGGGTGTCGGAGATAAATGCATGTGCGCCACAAGGATGCCGATCACTGCGATGCGGGTCTGATTAACGACGGCATTGTCATTGGCTAGGATGACGATGAGCCTCGGCAAGTGGGGGTCATCCGTCTCCACTCCCAACGGCCAACGGAGCCTCCGACCTTGCGCTGCCGTCATAGCGTTTGGAAATTTGCATGCCAACACTGCAACTGTGATCTGTGCATGTGCAATGGCCATGGCCGATCCACTCTCCTCGTGCGACGCCATGACGACGGCGATGGCAAGGCAAGCCGGCGTCGAGCAAAAGCTCTCGTTGTCGCAGCCTCGTCTCTCGCAACCAAGAGCACAGCATCTCATCACTCCAACACATTCGCCAACATGGCCGACGCCGTATACACTCTCGCAGAGGTAGCCAAGCACAACACTAAGAATGACCTCTGGCTCACTCTCTGGAACTACGTCTACGATGTGACCGACTACCAAGAAGAACACCCCGGCGGCAAGGAGTTTCTTCTTGAGAACGCCGGAGCGGATGCGACCACAGCATACGAAGACATTGGCCATTCCACAGACGCAAGGGAAATCCTCGAGAACTATCGAATCGGTCGTCTTGCTGACGACGACTGGACCGACCACGAGGCAAACAGAATGCCAGTCATCAAGCCAAATAAAGTTTTTGTCGTCAATAGGCTCCCTCCACCCACATCAAGTCTCGCACAATTACCAACCATGGGGCTTGGACTAGCCTCGATCATTTTATCATATGTTTACGGCCACAAGGTCACACCGTACTTGCGCCATCTCCAAAGCAGCGGCTTCTGGAAGGGTTTTGCCGTCTCTTCCATTGCCAGCATGGCCCTCGCGGGCTATGCCAGCGTTTGGGCCACCAACAGTTTTGATGTCGCACATATGGATTTTAGGGCATATCCCGCGCATTACAGGGCAAAGTCTACGGCGTCTAAGCCGACCAAGAAGAAGGACATCAATCTTGGTGTCCTAAACGCCCGCATTTACCAGCCGTTTCCGCTGATCGAGAAGACAAACGTTTCCCACGACACTGTTCGCTTCGTCTTTAGCCTTCCTAGCGAGAACTCTATCCTTGGCTTACCCACCGGTCAGCACGTTGCAATCAGGCATGAGGTTGATGGCAAGCAGATTACTCGATCATACACACCAACCTCCAGCAACCAAGACCTAGGCCGACTGGAACTGGCAATCAAGATATACGAAGGTGGCAAATTAACACCATGGCTAAACAAGCTGAACATTGGAGACAAGGTTGAGATTCGAGGCCCCAAGGGCGAAATGAAATATCACAAGAACCTCGTCAAAGAACTTGGAATGATTGCCGGCGGCACTGGCATCACGCCCATGCTCCAAATCATTCGACGCATTTGCGAAGACCCGCGCGATCATACCAAGGTCACCCTACTGTTCGCCAACAAAACTGAAGCCGACATCTTGCTCAAAGACCAGCTGGACCGATTCGCTAAGGAGAACAGCCAATTCAGTGTGCACTACATTCTCAGCAACCCTTCCGCCAGTTGGCAAGGTGCAAAGGGCCGTATCAGCAAGGAGCTGATTGAGCAGCATATGCCTTCACCAGCCGGCGCAGACAGCAAGATCCTTCTTTGTGGCCCAGACCCGATGGTGGACTCAATGTCTAAGCATCTCCAAGAGCGTGGCTTTAAAGCACCAGGTAAGACAAGGCTTCATTGTGAAAACCCTGTACACTGAGCTAACGCAAATTCACAGGCTCCATCTCAAAACCTCAAGACGAGATTTTCATTTTCTAAGTAGGATCCAACTTTTTAAGATTTTTAGTCTTCTATTCTTTCATGGCCATACACGATGGCCGGGGCATCTAGGGTAAAGAGGCAACTTGAAGTGCTTGGAGCTTGGGAATACCATATAGACGTGTATCATACATAATAGGGCATTTATCTTTCATAGCATGAGCGCGTAATTTCTGATACGATAGCCATTTTGAAGGTGTTGTACTGGTTCAGAGCCCACGTGATATGTTGGATTTGGTTCTTCGTGTCTACTCCGGCACTTGTATACCTTCTCGGAGAGGAAAAATGTATTGATGCGCAATTTATTCGTCCGAGAGCCAATCTACAGCTGTCGTGTCTTCTGTTGAAGTGGGTTCAAAAAGTTCCTGAAGAGTAGCATCCATTTGTTGCTCTACTAATCTTGGCTATAATAGTATTATTATTTCGCTTCCTGTTCATGGAAAATATGGTATCTTTCAAGAGCGAAATAGATTGCATCATTGCCATGAAATCCTGTGGGACTAAATTTAGGGCTATCAATTGAGGACGACTACTTCCAAGCGCTCAGTTTTTCTTTTTCTCTCTCGAACACAATCTGCATCGACTGTGCAGTAACAATGTATAAGTCCGCGAACAAATGTCGGTAACTGAATAGCAAGAAGCAATCGCCGACCGGAATCCGGCACGCCCGAAACGCGGTGCCGCAACCCAGAGGCCCGAGCTTCTCGGTCGCAGTTGGCATTCACAAGAGCAAATAGTGGCAGGGTGCCATCCCGCGACGCAGCTCGTCACGACTTATAATAACCCTCTCCTCGGGTCCAATTGCTCCCAGAGGTACTCATCCACCCTCCAGTATCGCGCTCCCCTCCTCTCCGTCTCCTCCACCGTCACCATGAACACCATCTCCCCGCCCCCGCAAATAAAACGGCTCTCAGGCCCCAAGCGCGTTCTCGGTATCCTCGTCGGCATCACAGGTGGCTTGGGCGCAAACGCCCTGCTAGCATACAGTGTATCATCCTTCTACACCCGCAACACCAAATTCGTGCCCTTTGACACCTCCGCCCCGGACCTTACGACCAAGACGTTCCGCGACCACAATCCCCTCAACAACCCGCCTGCCTGCATAGACCACGCCATCAAGCAAGTCCCGTACGGAAAGTTGCCGGAGAAGTATTGGGTCAAGGGCAGCGGGGGACGCATATCCGTAGACCAGAAAGCGCTGGCGACGGATTTCTGCAGGGGCATCTGGAGTGGAGTCGCATTCCGCGTCCAGAGGCGGATCATGGAGAGGAAATATCGCGCGCTTGAGGGCAGGCAGGATCATCTCTGGGATGTCAAGGATTTGGAGAAGAGTTCTTATCCCGTTGGAACCAAGATTGTGGATCATTTTGAGGTCGTGGAGCATACAGATGACAAGGTATTATGATGAGTACCAGCATCAGCATAGTAGCATACTAATCAAAGGATGCACCAGGTTATTGTGCGATGCGGTGATTCGCCGCTGAACCGAAATCAGCGATCATCGGATGGTCTCTTCTCTATGGAAGTGTCAAAGGACGACGAAGCTCAGATGGCGACTTTTCACCTCAAGTCTGTTTTCTTAGATACATCGCCAGAGGGTAAGGGCACTCAGCCTCAGCCGGCGCCCCTCCAGGCGGCGCATCGTTGGTACACTAAGCTGTGGATGGAGAGCGCAACACGCAAGTTGATCAAGGAAGCGTAAATTACTCGTGACAGAATTCGAAGGAACATGTACTTGTGTGCAAGATGCGGGTGATGATCAGTCGTTGAACAATCATGTCACCAGGGAGGTCTTGCCTATATAGACGCTTGTCGACTTGTTGTATATACTTTCCGTATACCCTCGCGCTGCTTTAGTTGACAAATAACAGAAGCAAATTTTCCACTCAATGTAAACTTGGATACCGTTGCTTGCAGAATTGATGCCCTTTTTGGTACGAGATCATATTGTTGCAGCACCAAGCTCAAGTTAATATAGAGCACTCAGGTGGAGTTCCTGTACCAACTAAAGACTGAAGAATATTCAGAAAACATGCCACTACGTCTAGCTCCTGAACAGCATCAGGCCGGCTTCCTCTGCGTCCACTTGCTCTTCCTCTTCACTCTCAACCTCATCATGCTCCCCAAGACCCAGCCTCTGCCCGAATAGACTGCTGAATAGCTCATCTCTCTGTCGATCGCCCCATTCGCCCCTGTCTTCTGGCGCCATGAAATTCTGCAGCTTCTCTTGGACAGTGTACCGGAGCTTGCGCCCCTTGCTGGCCTTTGTGTCGACGACCTTCTTGGTCTTGGCTTCACGGGCAACCTGCCACGGCGCCTGTACAACAAATTCGGCCGTTCCATTGGCATTGAGGTCGGCAGAGCGCTGCTCAAGAAGCTCTTTGAGCATCAAACCGTAGAAATCAGCATCGTCGTAAATGGCGGGGTCAGCCTGCGCTGCTTTGTTGGACGATTGAAGAGGTGCACATGAGCGAGGCATTTGTGTGCGAGTGACGAGATGGGACGATGTAAGCTGCGAATCGAGGACTTCGGTGAGGGTTTGTTGTGCAGAAGCGTTGAGACGGGCCTTGTTGTTGGTTACGGTCGTGGCTTTCGTCTTGTTTGACCACCTCTCAAGAATCGCTTTGCGGTGTGGTAGAGTGCCCTTTTCTGTGTCCTGGATAGTAGACCAGATTTCAGATGACGGGGTCGCATGGTCGAAATTGGCGCGCTTCCGCTTTTGGCCTGTTCGCGACTCTTCCAATGATAATCGGAGGTTTGTAAGATTGTTTAGCAATGTCAAGGCTGCGGCCTCTGCAGCCTCGACCGGTGCTTCTTGAGCGGTTTCATCTCTGTATGGCTCCGCAGCCATGGAGTTGGTGCTGATCAATGCTTTCTGTAATCGGATGCGGGAGTTGAGTAATGTGTCAAAAGTCTTGCGCTGTGTTTTGACAGCCTCTCCTTTGGCAACATCGGACTGGGTGCCGGCAGCAATTGTCGATGTAAAAGACTTGCTTGCAACCATGAGATCACGTACGGCAGATGCATCGGGCTTTTTGTCTTTGTCGGGTTTGTCCTCGTCCTCAGCTTCGGAATCCTCTTCGTCCTCTTCGTTCTCTTCGTCTTCATCACTCATGTCCAGATCCAAACCACCGTCGGCGTCGCTTCCACCACTCTCGTCTTCACGATCAAACTCGGCGCCATTGATGTCGTCCTCTCCTTCGTCATCACTAGCTTCGCTATCTTCGTCGTCAAAACTTCTGGCAAACGGATCGTCGCTGTCGCTGTCCTCGAGAGCCTTGCGGTCTACTTTGCGCCCAGTATATTCCGGTCCGAGGGGCACCTCAACTGGCTTGCGCAGCTTGCTCTTTCCTACAACTGTGTAATGCTCGCGCCCAACTTTCTCGTCTTCGACGTCTGAGACGTCGCTACCGGAACGCTCGTCCTCGCTGGAGCTAGGTGCAGGGTCGAGTAGGGACTCGGGGTCGAAATCTGATGTATTTGTTAGCATTCTTTCCATAGCGCGACCATCGAGAGCCTTTACCTCTAGTCTTGGATTTCTTCATGGTGTCAATGTCGGGTTATGGTGTTCTTGGTTGCATGCGCATGCGAAGAGAAAGTTCCCTCTGCACCCCACAAAAAAGTCAAAAGATGTCGGCGTTTCATTTTGCCGATGCGCATCACCTCCGCTACCAACTCCGCAACTCGTATTGCATCTCAAAATCATGTTGAAGCCACGGCTCTTTTCAACATTGCGGTGTTTACAGCATGAGAACCCCCTCGTATGTTGTGGTAAATATGTAGGCGGGTGCAGTGGCTGATGTTTGGCGCAGGGCCTTCCGCGCTCTGGTGCGCCGCCGCAAATGCCTCGGATGCAACGAGGATTGCCACAGAAGCGGAGCATCAAAGATGTGAAAAAAGTGATTGCTGTTTCATCGGCAAAGGGTGGTGTTGGAAAGAGCACCATTGCCGGTATGCCAGACTAATGCCCACGCCATGGCCGATGACCACACACTAAAGCCATGTGTTAGTGAACCTGGCCTTGAGTTTTGCGCGGCGTGGTTACAGAGCTGGTATATTGGATACTGATGTATTCGGCCCATCCATACCCACTTTGCTCAATCTAGCTGGCGAACCTCGACTGTCTACCAGTCAGTCCCAAGCGCGCCCCAGCACACTAACACATCCTGACTTTGCCTACTAGACAACCAACTTATACCCCTCTCTAACTATGGTCTCAAGTCCATGTCCATGGGTTACCTTATCCCAGAGTCCTCGCCGGTGGCATGGCGTGGCTTAATGGTCATGAAGGCTATGCAGCAACTGCTCCATGAAGTCGAATGGGGCGGTCTGGACATCCTGGTCCTTGACATGCCACCTGGGACTGGAGATGTACAACTCACCATCACCCAGCAACTGATATTAGACGGTGCTGTCATCGTCTCTACACCTCAAGACCTATCTCTCAAAGATGCCGCAAAGGGTATCGAGCTGTTTCGAAAAGTCGATGTGAAGCTGCTGGGCCTCGTGTGCAACATGGCAGGCTTCAAGTGCCCAGGATGTGGAGATGTACATGAGGTATTTGGCAGCATGAAGAATATCAGGGACATGTGCAACAAGTATGATTTGAGCATGCTGGGCGAGATTCCCTTGCATGGTAGCATCAGTGAGAATGCGGATCGGGGTAAGCCCACTGTTGTGTCAGAGCCAGACGGAGAGCGAGCGATGGCTTTTAGCAGGATTGCCCAAGAAGTAGAGCAATTGGTTGGCTTGCAAAGATGAGTCATCACGTCAACTTGACGCAGTTCATGATGGATCCTGAACCAATCGTTCAGATTGCAAAAAATCAAATACATACAAATTCTGACCCGCAGCTATTTCATTATACCAGGCAATTCGCAACATGCTTCAGCTAACCCGGTCGTATTTTTTTCAATCGCAAGTTTGCTTTTGATGAGGTTCTAACAATCCTATGCGTGGTTTGGGAGTACAAATGCAGCGAGGTTGACGAGTCATCGACGTTCGTTGGACTGTTTGGGTCTTTTTATTGTTCATGGAGAACTTTGTGATTTCTCGCTCTCTCGTTCGTCTATTCCCGAACGGGTTCCCATTTCCGACAAGTATGTGCTCCCGATCGCCCTAGAGAGAGCGGGAATCCTGGCTATGAGTAAAGTGGGGATGGACTTAGATCGCCGTGGCACATAAGGGCATGTTGGATGCGGTCTAAACAATGTTCCATTGTTTTACATTCCACATAGGGTCACCGATTTTCTCTGCTATTCTCCGCTCGGGTTGAGAATGAGCATTGTGCTCATTTGAAACGTTGTAGAGCATTGGCTGAAGCTCATTACGTATGGCATTGAGGCAGTGAAGCGAATGAAAAACATCGGGTCTAGGAAGATTGAGTAAAGCTGTTAGGGATAATTTTTTTCATGAAATAAGGACAGGGTTGGGCCATGTATTACTCAAAATGGTACTCCCCATCCTTGCGCTGTGGTGTCAAATCGCCTAAAAACGGAGTGGCTTCTTTCTTGCTCATAGTAGGAAATTCGCCTGAAGCTAGCGTTAGAGTTGAAACCTCATAATCTATTTACATATGCAACTTGGTGTTGTCTACTAGTTATAGAATTCATTTAGTAAGTACATGCCAAGATGTAAGAGATGACTATCTTGGGTTAGCATCCTCTTCACGTGACCTAGACCAAGATACACCTTAGTACAACCACCACTAAAAACAGAACAACCAAGGTCGAACAGAAGATAGTACAGATCAGCTAAAGCGACCGAACAACGGCGAATTTATGTTTAGGGGACCAAGGAGATTCACGGGGTTACCGCTTCAAGATGTAGCAAAGGATGATAAGAGCTACGGTATAACTACCCCTCTTCAGCTCCTTAGTAGCTTTTCAGTAGTACTATGTTAAGACCAGGGGACGGGTCTTTTATACCCGAGGACATCGTGGTCGTTTGAGGGTGATTTGCAACCAACTTCAAGTCGGATGTCTAGTGATAGGCTGGGGTCAAATTGACTAGTATCAAGGCAGGTTTGGTGGAGCTTGTTCCTGACTACGGCACGGGGGTGGATCTGCAGGACGCGTAAGTTTAACGATAGAAGTCGGACATTCTAGTGGGCGCGATGCAAAGTGCGACGAGTTCATGCAGTCGATGATATGCGACGTGTAGGGCCATGAATGGTCAATAAGAGACCGAGAGGGTGGTTTGGTTCTCTCCAGCTGTCAGGTAGCTGTCCGTGTGTCTGCAGCACGGCCATGGTTATGACATGACTAGCATGACGACGGGTTTGGTTGAGCTGCACGCTCTTTTGTCCACTACGCTGCCATCCACTTAGCAACAACGTCGCTCGCTCCACCCTCTGGGCATCACACATTCACCCACCTGCTCTGCTCTGGTCGTCTGAAGCCTGTCGCCCGCACCGCGCACTGATCAGTCCCGGCCCTTGAGCCGCATCTGCGCCGCATGGAGAACGCTGGGCCGGAAAGCCTGCCAGCCGGGAGTCCGCAGCCAAAAAAGCTGCCCGCACCTTCAACCCCGACGTCGTCAGTCAGGCGCAAGATGGCTTCCCATGGCCCTTCGCCCGCCTCCAAAGATGGCGCCGCTCCTCGTCGGCCCACCGTCTCCAGCACTACCACTGCCACTACAGCTACTGCTCGCCGGCCAGCAGCCCCAGCTCAAACCACCACGACGCGCACCACGACGAGCGCCGTCAAGCCCCCCGCAACCTCCACCTCCCGCACCAGCGCCGTAGGAGGATCCAGCATCAGCAAGCCGCCTACGCGTCCAGCACCCAGTACTGCTGCGCGTAGGACAATTTCGTCGTCCAAGACAGCATCAGACCAGGACCCAGAGCTGTCGTCAGTGACATCGGGAGAGGAGAGCAAGAAGAGGCCACCAGTGCGCAAGCCGCCTGTCGCGTCTGCTGCAGCTGCTCGACCATCCCCAGGAAAGCCAGCATCCAGGCCCTCGCTCTCATCTTCGGCTGCGACTGCGACAGCCACCGCAAAGCGACCCTCAACAACGCGCGCTGCTGCAGATACAGCAACAACCCGCGCCCCCCGTGCTTCCCTCGGTCCCTCCGCCAGACCGCCAAGCACACGCCCTACTGCTGCTGCTAGTACTTCTGCTGCCGCCGCTGCGCGCACGACAGCTACTGGCCCAAAAGCGCTCGCAGGACAGGCCAAGAAGCTATCTGCCCCTGCCTCTGCCCTCCCGCCAGCAGCCTCTGAACCCGAGGACACAGCAGAAGAAACGTACGACCCTCTCCCTGTCATGCCCCCGTATAATGCATGCTGACCCCTTTACGCAGAGAAAGCCTCGTTGCCTCCACCCTTAGCCGCAATGCCGCCTCTGATGCAGAAGTCGAGGTGCGCAAATCTGCCCTTGGGCCTGTCAAAGCCGCCCTGGCGAAATTCGGCGAGAGTTCACCCCGACCGGATACCGCGCCGACGGGCTCTGCCGAGATGGATGTGGAGATGAAAAGGCGGAGCGCCCAGATCATGCAGGACTTCTTCAAGGAAACCAGCCTTCGCGATAAGCTGCAGGAACAGTGCGACGACCTCAGTCGTGAGGTGGACAATCTACAGCTGGAAAAATCCAAGCTACGAAGCCAGCTGGCCGAAGCACAGGCAGCCATCACTGAAAAGGATAAGCTCATTGCAAACGGCTCCAGCGCCACCTCGTCTTCTGAGCAAAGCGCCCATGAGACCCTCGTCCAAGACATGGAGAAGAAGTTCGCCATAGAGACCAAGCAGCTCGAAGAACAGAGCCAGCAGCTTGAGGTGGAGAAGAAGGCAGCTCAGGAAAGAGAGGCCGCCGAAGCTGCCAAGGCACTCGAACTACAGCAGGTGCTAGACGACTTGAATGCTGAGCTCGAGCAGCAGGGCCGTCAATGGGACGAGGAAAAGAAGAAACTGGTCGAGCAAGCCACCCAGATCGAAGAGCTTATCCAGGAAGTGGCGACGTTGAAGGATGAACGTGACAAACTCTCGCAGGAACTCGATATTGCCAAGAAGACGCTGGAAAAGCTCGAAACCAAGTTTGCCGAGCTTGAGCAGAGCCAGGCGGATAATCTTCGTTCGCGCGACGCTAAGATCATCGAGCTTACCAAGACCGTCGATGAATACATGGCCCAGGTGACAAACAGAGAGGAACAGCACAAAGAGGCTTTGCAAGAAGCACAACAAACCCTCGAGTCCAAAGCTTCCGAGCATTTGGCACTTGTCGAGCAACTGCAGACTGAGCTGCAAACCATTCATCAGCAACACACTGATGAACTGCATGCAAAGGAGCAGATAATCGCCACACACGCTGAAACCCAGAAGCAACTCCAGGACGACCTCACCAAGCTACAACAGCGTGCAGATCAGACGTCCGCAGATCTTGAGAGCGAGCGTAACGAATACGCCGAACAACTGCAAGCCAAGATTGACGAGCTTCAGAAGACTACGGCCGACCAGCTGCGAGCAAAGGAAGAAGAGCTATCAGGACATGTCAAGTCTATTGAGGATCTTCAGGAGCAGATTGTGGCTCTTCAACAAGGGTCGACTGA